GTGGAGATTTCTCCGCAGAATTTGCGAAAAGTCTCTCTTTTCGCCTTGCGGATGGCATGGTTATATGAAGTAAGTAACCTTTTGTATTCTCCCCAGTTACTTCCTAGTCTAGCCTTATTAAACGCTTTCCTGGTTTCTTTTCTTAATAAGCCCAGTTCTGCATTCCACCAAGGTGGTTCTTGTTTACTTTTTGGGACCTTTACAGGGCAGCTTGTTTCATAATGTATATGTTTGTAATAATGTTTTCGGTTAAAGTTACCAGAGGGTATTCTTCTGGTAGCAAAGCCACTCTTATAATCTTTCATTGAAACGCTCTCACATTTCTGGGGAGATGTTGTAGTTAAAGTTACCAGAGGGTATTCTTCTGGTAGCAAAGCCACTCTTATAATCTTTCATTGAAACGCTCTCACATTTCTGGGGAGATGTTGTAGTTAAAGTTACCAGAGGGTATTCTTCTGGTAGCAAAGCCACTCTTATAATCTTTGCTGCTCCAGCGTAACTAACACTGGGAGCAGCCTCCCTGGCTTTGAACTGCGCCTGGGGAGTGGAAGGCTTTGCTTTCTTTTCTTTCCTCAGTTCTTTACGGGTAAGAGATTGCTCTCTTGCCCTCTTACTGGATGATGGTGCCTCCAGTTTTTCTTTCTGGATTTTAGCCTTCCTTTCATCGGCTAATTTCCTTGCTTCTTCGGGTGTTTTCTCCGATTTTATGGCCCTCAGGTACCATTTCGTCATAGCTCCGCTATGACCTTTCCTGAGAGTCTTTCCCACCTGGTTCTCCCAGCTTTGGTAGTTCGGCGGAGACTTTTTTCTTTCCTTTTGGTTTCCCAAGAGGAGGTCTGTATCTTCTAGTGTCGCTACTTGAAGGTAGTGAACCCTTCGGTTGTGTGGTGTTGGATTTCGCACGTAGCGACTGGAATTTATTTTTGGAAAGGAGTGGTGGTCTCTCCTTTGTTTCTGAGGACTGAGTGTCCATCTGGGGGTTAATTCCCAGATTACTTGTTGTGTTTTGAGCAGTGACATCCTGCTCTGGGTTTTGTTTTGTATTTACTTTACTCATTTGATTCCCACGAGTAGCTAGGGAACTATAAGGTCCGCTCCATCAGACCCCGCATGATGGAGTAAGGCTAATTACTTTCTGATGTCGCCCGGTGTCAGAGAGGCTCCGTTCAAGACAGCCACATTAACCCCGGCTGCCAGTGAATCACTCGGCACGGAACGCATGACACCTTTGATTGGGGCGGATGCTGTTTTCTGTCAAGCCCAAGACTCTCTAAGGGGGAAGGTGATAGGATAGAGGGAGAGGAGTTGGTGGCAGGAGCTTAATTAGTGAGGAATGGTTAGGAAAGTGAATACCTCACTTGGGGATAGGACACCAGAGCCCCTTTAGCCTTTTCGCACCGTACCATGCCGTGGGGATCAATGTGAATCCCCTCGTCAGGACGGTGACGAACGTTTCCCGGGGTTCACTGCTTGGAAGCGGGGTTGCTTTGAAACCCCTGGATACGCATTGCTGGAATTCCGCTGTAAATTTTTTATACTCAGTGATAAACGGTCACTTTTTAATCTCTGTGATGTTTAAGTTATAAAAACCCATTGCATACTGATACTTAATACTACCTCTGATGATAGTTTTGAACGCATAATAGAAAAACGAAATTCTTGCCATTACACTAGTGCTGTACAGAATTTAAAAAAATATTGTCTTTATACCAGTGGAGCTTAGAGAAAAGGAAAATCACAGAAATTAATTTATAAAATGTCGAGGATCGCTATTAGTACGAAAACCGGCCCAACAGATTTTTCATCGTTTTCATTTTATATGTCCCCCCAAATATGAGTCAGGCGAGCTAATCGATAGCGGGAAGTCGACTGACCCGTTCGGTCTGGAATAAGAAAGCTGAAGTGAGGGGCCCCTCGGACAAATTTACTGAGATATTTTTGTGGACACCCTACTGAGTCATTGTGCTCGGGTATCGACATTTTCATTGAAACGACAGTGAATCACGCTCGGTCTATATCACCGCTGCTCTATTTAATTCATTCCGGCTATCTGTCTGTAATCGTTTAATCAGCCGATTTTAAACAAATAATAACGTTGCTATGGAAATAGAACGCTGAAAACTTGTTTTACCAAAAAACGTACAACGCGATTGTGTAAGGCAATGAAGAAGAAAAAGAAGCTATTATTGGAGGTATGTAGTACGTACTAATGCAATTGTTAATAATTGTTGTTGTCTTCCTTTTTATAACAAAAATTAAAAGTTTTATCTCAATACACGAAAGAAAATGTAATTGTTGGATGGCGTTTTAGTATGTCATTCTTTTTCAAATACATATCTAAATAATATTTCGAACCATGAATATTGACTATTCAGTCTGTTGAAATTTGATTAAAAATAAAACAAAAGTATGTTTTTGGCAGACAGGATAATTTATCAAAATATGAACATAATTTATTTCCAACTGTTTATGTTACATTACCATCATAACAGTGAGCTCAATAAATAAACGCTTTCATTAATCAAAGAAAATATCATCAGTTAAAAAAAAATTGTATTTATTATTGATGAAATGTCATAACATCCATTTGCCGAGGTAACTCAAGTTAATTAAATCAATGTAAACAAGCTACAGCATACAATATTAATAATAATTCCTTATGTAATTACTGCTAAACTATAAACACATATTTTAATAATTATAAGTCCGGCATACAGAGGTTCCTCGATTTATCCCATCTAAATGATGAGTGCAACTCTATGGCTCTATATAGAGAACGTGTAAAATTGCCATCCGATATGAGAATCGTGCTTGAGCCCGGCAGCGAGTATAACAGATAAAATTTGTTTTAAATTTGTGATTAACATTTCAATCTCGCGTATTTCCTCCTCTTGCCTTAATTACATCTCGAAGACGTCTCGGCATACTTTCTACCTGTGTGGAAATGTCTTTGTGCTTGAGGTTAGCCCATCCTTCTCTAAGAGACCTTTCAAGTTCCCAGCACTAAGTGGCACTTTTAAGTTTAAAAATTGTAATTAAGAATACAAAGATAAAACAATTTTTTGCTTCTGATAACAAATGAGAGAATATTGAAAAATCCTTTATCCTTGTTCTGGATTAAAGGTAAAGTGTGTTTACCTCTAATTGATATTCCCAATTTAAAACATAGTGTAAACAAATATTTATTGATAAAAATAATTAGACAAATTAAGGGTAGAATTTTCTTTTATCGAGAAAAAAATCAATTTGATGGAATTTTTTGCCTGTCAGTGTATTTTAATGCTTGATATGTCAGCATTGTTTTTTTTTTCGAACCTGAAACCCCACATGGTAAATGACACCATTTAAACAAAAGCTGTAACACCATACACCATATTCGACCTGTTAACTTTTGGTTCTCGTTCTAAAAGGCGATATTTAGTGCGTAGTAGTTAAGGAATCGTGTATCGGCTCATTAGAGGCCACAGCATCACAGCCCTGGTGATAATGGATTTCACACATTTTCCGTTCTTCGGAAGTGGGACGAATACGAATGAGGGTCGGCTATGGAAATGGGGTCCGAAGGCAGGAGCGAGGTGGCCATTGTCTGCGGGTAGCGGCGTTGCCAATCGGCAGGTCTCGTCCTCCACGTGGTGGATGACCGAGCACCGGCTCCAGGCACACCCGCGGATCCACCATCCCGGCCGGCAACATCGCCGATCGCCACCTGGCCTCTTGACACACCGTCAAACAACATTTCTCCTCCAGGTAAAGACCTGGCCAACCTTCATTATCATCCTCTTTCATAACTGTACTTTTGCTGGCGTGATGCTGAGAATCCGCACAAGGCACCATAGCGGTCTTTTATCCCCCTTGCATTCCGCCCACTACAAGGAGTGATTTTTTTAAGTATCTCCCTTATTTGTGGCATTCATGACATATATAAGCCTCTACTCGTCGAAATAGACCGGAGTTTTTGGCCTGTGAGCCGCACTCTCCGTAATAGAGAGGTGTACGAAAAGGAGGTGATTAACAATAAATAATAATAAAATCAGCCGATTTTAAATAAATAATATTTGCTTTAAACAACGTTAAAATTTAACGTTGCTATGGAAATAGAACGCTAAAAACTTATTTTGCTTTATAACCGATAAAAGTTGGAATGCAAAATGAAAAACAAAAAGAAGAAAACTTATTTGGAGGTATGATTTTTTTTAAAGTATATACTAATGCGATTGTTAATAATTGTTGTTGTCTCTCTTAGTTGATCAATCTGTTGAAATTTGATTAAAAATAAAACTTTTGAAAAAGTTTTTTTTTTTTTTTTTTTTGGTAGACAGGATAATCTAGCATCATCAACACGATCTGTTTCCGTTTGTTTATATTATATTACCAGCATAACAGTGAGGTCAATAAATAACATATTCATTAATCAAAGAATATATCACTAGTTAAAAAAATATTGATAAAATAAATTCATATCCATTTACCGAGGTAACCAAGTTAATTAAATCATTGTAAACAAGGTACAGCTGTACAATAATAATAATTCCTTATGTAATTACTGATAACCTATATACATATATATTCTCCTAATACAATAATTATATAATGTGTCCGGCATATAGTGGTTGCTCGATTTGTCCCACCTAAATGATGAGTGCTCCTTGGCTCTATATAGAGAACGTGTAAGATTGCCTTCCGATAATCATGCTTGAACACGGCAGCGAGTAACTTAGGTCCCCTGTCCAGATTTTTTCGAGAAAAATGGTGGTTTTATTGTATATAGAAGGATAGTTTTGGGTCCTTAGCGTATATTGAGAGTGAATGTATTCATTGGATGTAATGTATATTCAGGTATGAATGTGTAGTGTGAAATGATGGCGGAATATTAGAACCCCATCAACCTTCAATTATATAGTTAGGTTAACTATATAGTGGTGGAGGAATATCGAGTACCCCGCCCTCCTAATTCAATGAATTGTACATAAGTACGTATTCAAGAATAAGTGAGAGTGTGAATGGGTTGCATTTAAGAACTCGTTGCTTGAGTGCTGAATTGACCTAACTGTTGACATGACCCGGAACCCAACATAATCGGATAAACGGATAAGACCGAGGTCTGACCCAGGGACTGCAACCACCCGAGGTGGGTGATTCTCGAGGCCTGCCGGTAATTGATTGTCAATTACAATTAGATGGTGAACTGCGAGAAGTGATAGGCTCAGCTCTGTACATGATTGTAAATACATTTCTACATGCATGTGCAGATTTGAGCCTGTATAAACCTAGATCCAAAAATACAATCTCATATCATACATATTTGAGATGTTATAATGTTACAAATAAATTCGTATAAGTAAAGAGTTTCACTCTATAACATATACGTTATATAACAAAACAGAACAAACAAGCATTTAGCATTCAATCAATAATTGCACTTTGTTATTAACATGTTCCAACACATATTTTAATGCTTGGTAAGTTAGTATTTTTCATACTGTTACATTTTGTCATCCCACGAATTTTAGATAGCACACTTTGTTACTATGATGTTTCGTCATATGTTGGCAGGAGAAGAACAAAACCGAGGATAAACCTGAACAACAGGTAGAAAAGATGGAGGACCAGCCACATAATCAACCAGACGAGAACATGAAATACGATTCCACTGACAAGAATACAAAAAAGAAATGGTTTATTCGAACTTTCTATTTACTTTGCAGAGACAGATCTATGCCTTCTCACAGTGATGATGAAATGAAGGCAGAAGATCTACCTGAAGGAAACCAAAAGGTTCGTGACTTTTTTTACATGAAGTATCTAGTCCTGATGAAGACTGACTAAATAAATAAACATAATTCAATGTAGTCCACATCCATGTTAAATAATATCATGCATATACATACTTTTACTTAGAGCATAGGTCATGGATTTGTTGAATGCCCCTTCCACGTCCATAAACAACGCCAAGGCTATTCCCTTGTCGTTTAATGCCTTAGATAGTAGCCTGTTTAACTCATTCGGCGGGTAAGTCCGTGTAATTCCCTGTCCGATATACAACTTGCCTAGCACTGAGTTTTTACATGAAGTATCTAGCCTTTTTAAAAAAGATAAGTATCTAGTTCTGATGATGACTGACTAAATAAATATAATTAAATTTAGACCATATCCATGTTAAATAATACAATGTCCACTTTTGCCCTGAAGATTATACGATTAAAGGACGAAACATCGGAAAAAATAAAATTGTATGTTTTTAAACTACCTCATTCTTAACCGCTCCTCACGAGTTCAACAAAGTATCTATTTAAATGGGACATACGCGGCTCTTGTCATGATTCGTTTCCTCTATTAATTGTAAATGTTTGATGAGTGATGAGTAGGATTATGCCCAAAAGTACTTTTTTATGGCGTTAGAGAAAAATCGCCGTTTGCCAAGAGAGCCCGGGAAGTGGGAAATTTCGTCCTGTCACGTTGTCCACCCTGTCGGCTCATGCCCGCTCGGCTGGCGAGAGGATTTTCGTAGACAGTCTTGAGCAGTTGTCGTCCTTGTTCGTGTCTTCCTAATTGGATAAGTTCTGTGTACGCACTTGAATATCATCCTTCGTGCTAGTGATTAAGTGTAGTGGGAGTTTTTTACATTTTAAACCGTTAATTTCAATATGTGAGTATTGGTTTTGTTTAAATTTTAATAAGAACAATTTAAAAAAAAATTTTTTTTGCAATTACACCAACTCTAGGCATTTATCGTCGGGTCGACAGTTTTAGTTTGAAGAAGGTTTTTGAATGTTCCATTTTCAAAATAGTCGTTTAATGTTAGATCACCTCCGCAAAATGCCTAAAAAACTGAAACTAGAGCTTTTTTGGCGAATAAAAGGCGTTTTGAATTGTTTAACGTTTAAAACCGACGCGCTGTACATATTTTTCTTCGAAAACATAACGAACTTTTTTAAAAGATAGTTCTTACTCACAGATTGAAATCCGGATAATTTTCAAAATGTGAATAAGAACATATCTTTTGATTAAACGACATACTCACCCCACCTATAACGAACGTTAGGTTTGCCGGGTTGACGATACGCAACTAGGCTGCGATTGAGTGATTAGCCGGGTTTTTATTTTTATTTTATTATTTTTTTTTTAATTTGTTTAATGAACATGAACGACGTGGTACAAAGTTTTCGATCGACATGCCGTTTGTCGTACGGCCGGTTTTATTAAATAATAATTCCTGCGTAATAGTGGCTACCGGCTAATCCACGATGGCCGGTCGCGTGTATGAACGTGGAAAGTGTTTCGGTTGTATAAAAGCAAAATTCCTTCGCGAATCTATTGGGAGTATTCTTTTATTTAGTCGATTATTTAGTGGTGTTTATCCTCTTTTTTTTTTATCCTGGGGAGGGGTTCTTTGTGTTTCTTAGTCGGGCTGTTGTCGAAGTCGATCCGGCAACATCGCACCCTAAGGTTCAGGGGGGGTTCTGATGCTCCTCAACCAGTTCGACTTGTTCACTTACCAATCGCCGCAGTCCTACTCCGTTTTTTCATCTTTTTCATCTTTTCATTATTTTTTTTCTTCCCGATTTTTGTATTGTCGCGAGCCTGTTCGGACGTCAGTTATAAAAATGAAACCGTCGTTCACCTTTCCTGTTTAATCCCGAATACAAATTTTATTCGAACTTGGCGACTCTTGTTATAATGGACATTTTCTTTCCGGTTCGTCTTGTAACCAATAACGGAACTTAATGGGCCTTGTCGACTCGACAAATAACAAACGTTCTGTATGCAGAAATGCGTCTTTCGAGTGCTTCAGTCTTCAGTGCTGCAGGGGAGAGGGAGAAGTCGGGTGCCACACCCCATCCGTACACCTCCTTGTCGCCCTTTTATTAGAAATGCAAACTACCTGAATTCTGTTAATTCGCCAAAAACCTCTTCCTCGTTTAGTGTCACTCCTTATAGCGAGGAGCACGTGAGAACCGCAAATACATCCCGATTTTAAATTGTTGATGAAGGGTGAAAGGTAAAATGTACAGATTTCCTTCAAGAATTATCGTGCAAGGATTCGTCAAATTACTACTCAAATCCATGGACCATTTTCGGTTATGTGATTTTTAAAGACGTTTTAAATCAAAAATTCTTGAACTTTTTTTAAAAAGATAGTTCTTACTCAGTTAGTTGTTTTCAACTATCCGGATTTCAACCCTCTAACCTTCTCCAACCATCTTGAACTATTGAACTATATTTTAAAAACATACAACATATCATTTCTATCAAAACTTCTTTTTCACTTTTATAAATAATTTTAAATGTATTTTAAGAATTCAAATCATAATTTTGCCCACACGATACGTTAAAAAAACACGAGAGTTGTTGTCTCGATGTTTGTCGGAAGTAATGTCTCACGTTTTGGTGATAATTTAGCGGTTTCTTTTTAGTATATTTATTGTTAATATGTATTTACAATTTGGTTTCAATTGTTTTTAACAATAATTAAAAATATTTCAAAGATGTACGAAGCAAAAGTCAGCTTTAAAATACTCAGCTTCATAGCAAACTATTTTTGCAAATGATATATGCACCAACAGATTCTTGAATTTCGTTAAAATTATTTAGATTAAAAAAAAGAAAACATCTCATCTTCGTCTACCCGGTATGTAAACGTTTTTAAGGCACTAATTTAAAGTATGGGTCGACAAACAACTGAGGTTATCGCTGGCCCTTTGCGGTTTTCTGTTTTTTTGTGTATTCTTTCGCGCGTATTTTGTTTTAGAATTGCAGCCAAACTGACTTTCTCCTTTTAAATATGTACTACGTCGATATCCTAAAATGCTAGCTCGTTTGTACCTCAGGTTGTCAAGTACAGAATAGAAACAAAACAATACAAATATACATCACCACAACAGATGTCTGGTCACATTCACTCCTGAGTACTCGATATTCCTGTGGGCGGGATTGAACCCAGTACCTTCTCGCTAATAAGTTACCTTTACTTTCCACACGTCACACACCCCAGCGTACTCGATGGGGACGGGGTTGAACAACTCCTTTCTTTGACGCTAATAAATTCCATCATTCCAGTAAATTAACATAAAGTCAACACAGACAAACATAAACACTATGTACATTTAAAAATCCCTATAGCCCTGAGGTATAGGTACTCGAACAGCGATCTATGGCACTGATGTTATTTTCGATTTTATTAAGCTGGTCTCCTTTTTTGTTTGTTATTTGCATACTCATGACTCAAGTAATTCAAAGAAAAGAGCTGGCTACGTGCCATCTCTCATTATACGTTTACATGTCGTTCTTTTACATATTAATTAATATTTCGAGCAAAGTAATTGTTTGAATTTGAACATACATCATAACAACAAACGTCTATTTGAACAGACATCTTAATAAAAGACGTCTTTATTAATATACTGAATTAAAGATAAACGTATAACAAATGTTTAGTTTTAGTTGACATTAGAATCAACATAACATGAACACGAATTATATCTCTTTTGAGTTGTCTATTACTTGGGAGGGGGGATAACTTACATCGTACGTTGTACTCTAGTGGTGTAATATATATTTTTTTAATCGTGGAAAAAATCTTGCAGATTAAAAAAAGTTCCATCTTAGCGTTTATTTTTACATAATACTTTTTTGCAGAATACGATGGGTGGGAAACACTCTAAAAGATCTGTTGATATATCAACACCATCTGCTGAAAAGGACGATGTTTCTGAGAAAGTAGAAGGTGACAACAAATTACAAAACGGCACCTTTCACATTGAGGTAAATAAATAAAAACTTAAATTAATCCATTTATCGAAGAACCAAAGTATAAAACGTCGTTATCAATGTAATGTAATAAATCAATGTAAAAAAATTCATTCACTTAATAATGTATCTAACACTTTAAAAAACGTAATAATTATTATGTTTGAGTATGTATTTTATAAGCCTAGATCATTTGATTGGTTTCGTCATATGTCGACCTGATTGTTCACAGGAGTTGAATGAAAAGGAGGAGAAGCCCAAAGATCAGTGTGAAAATACAGAAGAGCAGCCGCAAAATGAAAGCGATGCCGACAAGAAATTAGAAACGACAAACAATAAGAAAAAAAAGAAGTGGTCTTTTCGATCATTATCATTTTCTAAGAAGGACAAATCCAAGCCTGCCATGGTAAAAGAAGAAACGAAGCCAGACGAACTTGCTCCAAGCAAGTCATCACAAGAGGTTCGGGACTTTTTTTTAATTATCCATTTTTGATGAACACTGACTAAATAAATAATTCCATAAATCAATGTCGAATGCTATGCATATATGTATACGTAAAACGGTATGTTTTGACTTAGGTTGAGAGTTGTTATCCTACACTTATTTTGAGGGCTAGGAGGAGTTTCGACCCAATTAAGTTATAACCAACCAAATCGACCTTATTTGACGTATCGGAGCCGTAAAATTCAATTATCCACTACTAGATGATGCGCCTACTACCTACCTTCTCCACCGTTGAAGTCCACCGAAAATCCATTGGCTTCTCTTTTAAACTTTAAAAATTTGTCGTCTCAAACCGATAGTTTATCGCCCCGTGTTTCGAATTTAGGCGCATCTTTACAACCGAGAAGCCGTATATTTTATTACGACAAAGTTTAAAAGACTGTGGGTTCGAAAAACATTAAAATTGAATTGCTCCTTTATCCGAGAACGAATTCACTTTTACTGAAATTTAATTTCGAATTAAAAATGAAAACCTTCAACACCAAGTATTTTTCGTTCCTATAAAAATTCTATAAAGTTATTACTATTTAATTGCATTAGCAATATAATAATAAACAATTTTGTGAAATGCATTTACCATATATTTATATTGATAGGTAAAGGAAGACATAGCTTCGTTGTTGTTATAGCCCTACATAGGCATCGTGTCACATTAAAAAGTATATGTACTGTACGTGTAACTGATACATTTTATGTCAGAATGTAGTATACAGTAATAACAAAATTTCTTTGCCGTTGAATTATACAAGCCAAGGCTTACATCACCACATAAGTTAGATTTAAGCTCCCATCCTACCGTTCATATTTTCATAGTCTTGTTTGCAATGTCAGCCCCCTTGTTTTACGGCATGGGCCCTAATTAAATTTGTTGACGATGTTAAGGAGTTGCCATGTGAAAAACTGGTGAGATAGGTTTGTCTATTCCAAATTTCCACCAAACCATGGTACGTTTAATTATTTACAAGGAAGGTTTTTAGTTCGTTTGTGCTTTAATTGATCCGAGTACGATGAGTGATGATGTCAATTGTTGAGCATGCGGGGGAATTGTGTCTAGGTGTGAGAGCCCCTCGGCCCTCGGTATTAACTTTATTGGTAGCCAGGGGGTTGGGATGATGATGTGATGGCGGTGGTGGGGTTGTTGGTTGGTATGGTTACAGCCACCAGCGTCTGGCATCGATCTACCCCTCCTACTCACCAAACTGAAAACATCGCCCTCCGACAAAATTCCCATTCAAACGCCTATAAAGGCTCCGTCCCTTTAATTATCATAATTGGTATTTTGTCAGAGTTGTCTTTTTTTATATACCTATAGCTACATATTTCTTAATATCCCGATACCGGATTTCTAGGGAAAAAAAGAAAAGAAAAAAAGTGTCTTAAGAGGGAGACTTCTGAGAATGAAAGTTGGGAGGATTTAATGCCGGCCACGCCCTTCTTCCCACGCTTCAATTCATGGATTTTGTAAATTGTATTATTGCAATGGGCTATAAAATAAAAAGGCCTTATTGACCTCCCAACGTAAATGGTTGGGTGGGCACTGATCTTCCCATTGTCCATGTCATAAACCCAAAAACTAAAACGTCTTTATGCGTGGTATTAAATTAATCTTAATTAATAATTCAAATAATTTGCTTTTATTCCAGTGATTCAATTTTATGAATATTGAGTCATATTGTACGCTGAATAGATGCACTTGTTAAACACCCTGTTACTCATTTCTGATATTATTTATTTATAATTATTTTTTCTAAATTATCTACAGTCACTTAATGTTTTTGGCCATCTCTTCAATAACTATTTTCTTCTTGTCTGCTGTTTGCTGGCTCATTGAAAAACAAACGTAAAAAAATCAATTCAGCCATAAAAAATGTAAAAGAAAGCTCAAAACAATGTAATATAAATTCCAAGTATTAATCTTTTTATCCAAATTAGTGTGAAGAGCGAGCGAGATTTTTCATCTCAACCAAAAACCTTAAATAAAAAGAATAATTAATTGGATAATTAATATGTTCAATTATGACCACTAAGCAAATATGGATTAATATTGATTTTCGAATTAATTTTATAGGAAACTGAAACAGTCGAACAGAAAGAGGATTGTGAGGAATCCCAGGACAATTTGCATCCTGCCGAAGAAAGTAGTACAGAAGCAAAAAAGTCCGAGGATAAACTTGAAAATCCTGAAGAACTTCAGGCAGAACCAACCAAGCCAATGAAAGAGGATGAAAACTTGGATTCAGATCCTGCAATCCAATCCGATAGAAAAGAAGAACCCGACGATGTAACAAATAATGAAAGAAAAGATGAATCGGGTGTTGAAAGCGTTCAACCAAATAATGAAAGAAAAGAAGATTCTGGCGTTGAAAGCTTTCAAGCAAGTACTGAACAAAAAATAATACTAGAAGAAAAATCAATTGAAGAAGAGTCATCCGAGACCAAAATTGAAAAAACAAGTGTAATAAAAACAAATAATATCTCTATCACCGAGATATCAGTATTGAAAACAGAATGTACCCAAGTGAGTAAAACGGCTTAAACTTGTATCAAATTACATTGTAAATGGTTTTAAGTTTGAAACTAATATAAATAATAATTTAAATTTCAGGAAATAAACATGAAAATTGAAGGGTCATTAGCGCTCAACGAAAGTTTAGATCTAAACAATGAAACGGAGGTTTGTTACACCCACAGTGGATTTTTAACATAATGATTTAAAATTAAAACAAAACCAAAAAGTTATTTTGATATTTGATATACTATATTTACAATTTAGTAACTTTTTTTTTCCAAATTATTTAGGAGATAAATGGAGCTGGGGAAAGTCTAGCCGACGAATTGTTTGATGATAACAATGAGGGAGTAAAAGAAAATGGTCTGCCCGATGCCAAGGACCTCAAAACAATCCAGGTTTGTTTAACCTTATGTTAATGTTTCATTACGTTACAATATTTACAAATTTTAAACTTGTCGGCTAATGTCAAAACCCAACTTTCTTTGCCATGGCATCCTATGAGTAATGTAGTCAGTTTTACTATTGTTTTGACAGTTAATTGTTACCAACTTAACAGTGTGGCACTTAATTATTTTATTTAAAGTCATTATTATATTTACATCATCTTCCCATCCCTTTACTGTCCTCACGAGGATCCCCCCCCCCATCGCAATTAGCAAAGTTGGAAGTCATTACATGTATACTTCAAAAAGGCCCTTCGAGATTCAGTGTAATATTTTGGTGTTTCCAGACCCAATAAAAAATAATTTAATACTTTTTTCATTATTTTCTTTTTCTGAGTAACATTTAAATTATCATTGCCAAAAGCATAGAAAATTTTCTAAGCTTTGTTAATTTATTGTAAATAATATGTTAATGACCTATCCTATCAGGCTTGGTATAAAGTGAAGTACTTTGCAATATATCACCACCTACTTACAAATATTAAACAATAATATAGAAATAAACGATTTATTATTACTATTATATTTTTAATTTTATTATATTAATACTATTTTAGTATTTTTACTTTAAATTACAAATTCCAATAAAAATAATTAATTTTGATATTTTTTAGGTATTAGGAGAGAGCGAAGTGCAACAAAATGGAGAAAATATTACAACAAAAGCAGATTAGATAGATAAAAGTCAACGTTCGGAAATCAATTAATAAATTCTTGTGTATGCATGCATCAAGTGTACCATTTATATCATTATTATATCATGGTATATTTATATATATAAATATAAATATATCGTTTAATATTTTAAAAATCTCTTTCAGAGACATGATCTGTGATGCCTCAAAGAAATAAGAAATTATTAAGCAAATAAAAAATAGCCACATAATTAGTCGAGTCCATATCAAAGACTGTTTTAGGGCTCAGGTTTTTCACGTTTTCTATTCAGCCAACAAGCTAATACAATTTAGATGAACAATTTTAGACATTTTTGAAACAGTTTCTCCACCTTGTGCCTTCGGGAATGACACTACTCTTGGCATTATTTTCTCTTTTTTTTATATTTATTTAAATTTTTTTTTTAAATCAAATTTCAAAATCAATTTAATGTGGACCAACATTCTTTCACATCTTTACTGAAGGCATCACATCGTTTCAAAATGTAAACTGTTTTATACGTTTGTACAAGAAAAATTTAAAAATGTATAAAATCTAAACTCAAACAAAAACTCACCGACAACACTTTTTTTAATTAATTAAGAATTGTATATTTAAAATGTTACGAAACGGGACTTGGTGATATTTTGTTTGATGATAATATTGATAACTTAAAATTTTGTATAATAGTTTTGGGCATATATCATTGCTTCTTTCCTTTTTCTTTCTTTCTTTTTTTTTTTTTTTTTATTCTTACTTTACTACATTCTTTTGTTATGAAGTCTAATCATTAATGAAATTTGCAACACTAAAGCCCATTCAAACCGTCAACAACTTGTTTACACAGTTTACATTACATCTATTGATGCAATATAATATACAAAAATTTTTTTTTTTTAATTATATATAAATATTGAACAGTAAGTGGTACGAATGTTGATATGGATTCCTTATATCGCATGTGAATCGTGAGATAAGGAGAATTTTTTTTAATAATTCCAATTATATAATGTAAAATGTTTTTATGTGTAGTAGTATAGCTATACTCGCTGCAGGGCTGTATGATAGGGAAGGAGCGCTTCAAATGAAAGAAAGAAAAAATGTGTACAATAAAAAAAAATGATTGGGATGGGATTTATAAGTAACAGTAGACCGAAAAGAATGAAAAGCTTGCTAAGAGTTGTAAACAACGAATCAAATTTTTATAGCATTCATGTCATCAAATAATAAATGTCAAGTTGAGTTTATTTATAAATGGTTCCATTCAGTGTTTGTCAATTCCTGACTTTTGTACAATTAACAATGATCCCCTCTCAATCTTATATTCTGTGTGTGAATGTGTTTATAAAATTTAATTACAATGTTCAAATTTATTTGTTCTTGTCTTATTTATCCTATTTTTATCTTTTTCTTTTTTTCAGCCGGTTAACTACTAAGGTCATTGCACGCTCCTGTTTTTATGTCTGTCTTGAATTTTTACACCTTTTAGTGCATAGTTCATTTTAACTGTTTAAAATTTCTCCACTGTCCTGTCACACACGAGGAGACTAGATCATTTTCTTTTGGCCAAACTAATTGGTAGTTATCTAGGATTAGATTTTAACTAAATTGACGACGAAATGATGTAACATTTGGGGTGTGTGGTGCAATAGTACACCCTATTTCTTCATGTTCATATTTATTTTTTTACAATCTTTTTACGTATAGCGTAAGTTTTGGTTATCTGCATGTAAGGTGGCAAATTGTATATTATTGGTTTGATTTGTTTAACTTATAAAAAAATGAATTTATCATCTATATTCCATATTTTATATATCTATTCAATTCATAGTTAAATATATCACATTTTTTAATTTACGTATAATCCGAGTTCAATCATCATAACAAAATATCAGTTTCTGTTCATGGAGAATGTGTAGTACAGTTGACTTGTCGATAACTTAGTTTAATAACTCGAATTCCTGATTTTTTCACTCTGAGATTACAGTGTTAAGTTGATATTATTGGACAAGCACCACTGCAGAAAATCGCTACAATATATGTTAAAATCTAAGTTCTGGAGCAACACGTCTGCGGAAACTGCAAATTTGTAAATGCGAAAGACACAAAAGATGTCAGAGATGTCTCCTTGCAGTTTTGGGCCGGTCAACAACGTGTCTTTCAAAGATGTCCCACATGAGTCCTTGGCTGAGGCATCAAACACAACGCGAAACTTGGTATTGGTGAGACTGATGTGCTTGACGTGATGAGGTACTAAATGTAGACGTTTCACAAGTTCTACACGTCCCAGGTCGCGATATTCCCCAAGAAATGCATGACAAGACTTCCCCAAGCCAGAGTGAGTTATGTGGGCTTCAGTACTGTAACAAAATTTAAAGGCCGTTTCTCGATTGTTTCCAAGGGAGGCATTTACTTAGCAAGGATACCACATACTGGCCGGGTGGCATCCTGTAAAACGTGTTGCGCAAATGGTCTTCTCAAATCACATCTTCGGGATTTTTATGAACTTACTTCTTCCGTTTGCCCGAAGCGCAGAAAATGGTATTAAGCGGGTTGGAACAAGTGAGAAAAGAAATTGCGTTTTCAGCAAAATTTCCGGAATCTTAACCACTAAGATCCATCCGAAAATCGTCCCGATAGCAAGTTACTCTCCCTTATTGAGATGCGGGAATCATGAGAGGATAAACGTCCGCTCCGAGAAGAAAATCCACCTCTGCTTCAATATGGAAAGAACGATTGGCTAATTGTAGCCTATTGTATTGATTGTTGAAAATCTGGTATACAATTCATTAGGTATATGATTGGTAAATCAGAGGATATTCGAAGCAAAATGAATAATTGGGTCTCCAGATATGTGGCATGGTGTGCTTGTGCTGGAAACCACCTCTTTGAGATATGGACTCGGGTTATCTACAATTCCTGAAATGTTGAGTGGGAATTTAGAACGTTTCAATTTAACACGTTGCGACAAGCTTGGATAATACAGGATACTTAAGAACCTGGATCAATAATCATTCGAATTGGATGCATATTTCCATCGACATCCGTAATCATGGCTTCGGAGGTCCCAAGAAGCAAAAAAATGATGAAACGATGGGAGGCTTTTCAGTTGTTTGTGGGATGGTAGATGATGGCAAATTGTGCTAGCAAGAGTGATGTATTTTACTAGTAATGATTCCGGGTGATTCCCCTGCATTTTCTGAGTCCCTTCACAGTTTCCCAACGTTCTTTGACCTTCTTAGATACCGATATAGGTTGTGCGGTCCAGAACACAAGGGGCAACAATCCTTTGATGAGGATTGTCTGATGTTGATTGCTGAGCGGTCATTAATGCCGTCAGGCGTGATGTCTCCAATTGCTTGAAGAGTTCTTTCACGAACAAAATCGATAAAAAATTTAAAAGTTAGAAATTCCTGATGAATTTTTGTGCTTCAAACAATTTCTTATTTGCTGGGTCTAAGTACCGTAACACGGTGTGAAGAAGAAATCTGCTAAGTAAGCAATATTCAAAATCTTAAGTGCCGGAACATTAGTGTGGGAAAACATCAGTCAGATTTTGCAAATCTGCTTTTGGATGTTGACGAACGGAATGCTGTAGTTTATCAACGTTAAAAATTTGCAAGTTTTCGTTTGTTTTGGTAACTCCACCAACACTTCACATGCAATTTTATAATTTCAGTTTGATAAATGTATCTATTAATTTCAAAAGTGGGCCGCGGAAGGAACATAAATAGTGAAGTTTTTCCGAATCCGTCAAGGCTTCTCGTGGATCTGAGATGTAAACCACGAGAAAAAGTTCGGCCACTTGAAAATCCCCAGAAAATATTTATATGGGGAAGTTTCGGTTTACTAGACGTCGAATAGGTTCATTTCATCAAACGAAGTGGAACTGGCGGTTGTCAATTTCTTTGTTCTTCTTTGACAGCTCATTGAATGTCAAAATTTCATCCTGGATTCGATCGAAAGACTTGTAATCCTCTTCGATCTTGTCCAACCGAACCAAAAGGTGGCAAATTGTCTATCCATCAGTGCGGTTTATTCAACTTAAATTGTTAAGTCAACTAAAGGATTAATAAGTTACATATTTTAAGTGCGTAAAGAGAACAAGAGGTAAATGAAATTTTGCACACTTCGTTGGAAACTAATTATTCTAAATAAACAATAAGTGGTTATAATTCTCTATCGATGTAACTTCGGGAGAGTGTACGAGAAAGAAAAAAACAGCTTACTTTGCTTATCATATTTAAATTAAATTGACGTGTTTATTATTTTTAACAAATTGGAATAACTTTTAAGATAGGAAGTTCCCAAACTGAATAAGACTTGAAAAAATTATTAACTAGTCAAACTTGAAATTGAACTCCAAAAAAAGATGCAATGAGACGACACGCAAGATATGGCAAATCGTGGCTTGCAGCCTTTCGGACAGTACGCAAACCTTTCTGACTATCCTACTTTTTTCCTCACCCTTGTCTTTTCACCTCTCCCTGTTTGCCCCCTTCACCCACTGTTATGCCGACAAACGCGTGAGTGCCAGGCCTGGAACCCGAAACAGAGGTTCTGTTCTGGATTCGAACCCGGGACCTTCACCTTACAGTGATGAGCACCGTGTCAACGCCTAAACCGTTTCGCCCATCCACGCTCCTATTATTAAAAGATTTTGAGGATGTGTTCGATTTGTATGTAGAGAATTCCTCTACGTACATTTAATGAACCTCCGGTCAAGGATGTAATTTTATTTATTGTCTGCATAATTAATATTTTGTGAGGGTTGGTCAAAAATGAAAGCACAGCTTCTCAAAACAAAACGCAAAATGTTTTACAGACAAGAAAATATATACTATTTACAATTTAACACTTTTTCAGTAATAGGTAAGCAAATGATTTTGGGTGCAACAATTTGTGAGACTCATCTCGTGGAAAAAGAACAAAAATCAGTGATGTTAACTCCTTGAAAGATACTCCTCAACTCCTCTCTCCCTTCCCTCACTTCGTTTCTCTTACACTGGTATTTCTTTACATGTGCTAAATAATACCGGTGGTTGAAGTGCCCCAACAACATTCCTCCTCGAAGAAAAGAACTTGGGGAAGTAGGAAACCACATTCTGCAGCATTGAGTCAAAAGTAACGCATACTATACCATCCCTCACACGCGACCCTCGGCCTAGGTCTTAAGTTTCCCTCATTGGACACGTTCGGTGGCCTTTGAAATGAAACAGCCATCACGCCTTGCTGGATTTAGGCGCGGAGATGTTGACTCTTTCTGCTGATCAGAATATCAGAAGTATTTATTTATTTTGTTATAAAGAGAATGAGCGATGTAGGTAGGGGAGACGAGGGGTATAAAGGTATTTACAATTCAGTAAAAGTGTGTGACTTTTTTTTTTTTTTTAATTTTACACATAAATGTTGCAGTTACACTAATGAGGTTGTAGGTGGACCGAGTGGAATGAGGTTGGCACCGAAATCGAGCAATTAGATTCTGTAAAAATAAAAATAAATAAAAAAGAAAAATGGCTGTTGTTTGGGGCTTAAGGTTTCTCTTTTGAGCACTAATAACGACCTCTCTTTTTCCTTTTTAATTTTTTTTGAAATAATTTTTTTAAATTATTATATTTTTTATATATTAAAAATGAAAGTAAAACTGTAATTAAGTGTAACTGTAATTTAAGCTAATTTTATCAATTTTAAATTATTAATTCTCTTGCTTGTAAAAGTAATAATGTTCTCGCTTATAATTTTTTTATTATTATTATTTTTTTAAATTATAATGCTTCCATTTTATTACATTCATCGATTCTCTATCTGATGTCTCTAGATACTGTTTTTATTTGAGAGATGTGAACCCGTGAGTTTAGGTCTAGATTCCAAAAAAAGTCTTGGAGATGATTTTTGACACAATGTAGGGACAGAAAATTTGAACGCCGGTTTTGATCTGTTTTTGTCTTTGTCTGATAGAGTGCGTGTTTTTATGGATTTTGTTTTTAATTTTAGTCATAAGTCCCTGTATGTCTTATTATAAAATTTTTTATATGTGCTTTGTTTATATGTTTTAAGGCCAAATCCAACATTTCTGGGGCTTGGTTCCTTCGACGATGGGACTTCCCATTAGGTTTATAGGGGTATTAAGCTTCCTCCTTAGCTAGGATTTGGGTACTTGCAAAGATTAATTATGCAGATAATAAATAAGATTATATATTGACCGGAGGACCATTACATGTATACAGCGTGGTGTGTGAATATAAATTAAAAAAGGAGAATTATAAGCGGTGAGAAAAAGGGGTTAAAGAATCAATGGAAATAAGGGTTCGGAGATTTCTCAGAGTTTCGGGTTCCAGGGCTGGGTCACTCACGCGGACGTCGGCGGTATAACAGAGGGTGAAGCGAGTAGACAGGAACAGGCGAAAAGATAAAGGTGAGGAAAACAGGAAAAGTAAGAACATTACAAGCTGAGAGCAGAGCGTAAGCGATTCGAACAGCACTGAAAACAGGTGAGCAGTCGGCTTCGATTAATCAAATTTAAAAAAAAAGAGGGCGCGTTGGTAAGCCCTTTTTCTTTGGGAAGGCACCAATACATAGCATCTACGTGAAACATTGAAACAACACCACCACAAAATATCGAAATATTTATAAAACTGTCACTGTTTGTTTGGCTACAAAAAGTAGACAAGGCATGGAATGATATCGACAGAAAAAGCAAACGAGGAGCCATTCATTTTGGTTTTGAGAGGAAATATAAGCAAAGAAAAACCCCTGCTAATTAAGGAACTTAAGGAACATAAGATGGAAGGAATTAGAGGTCGGAATAAACAAGTTCCTTCTTATGGTTTTTTTTTCAACAGTATGCTTTTGTTTTACAGGCACCAATACACGCAGACGCATCCACACCCGAAGAATACATGACCAAAGCTAAACAACTACACCACAAAAATCGGAAGAATTTAAGAAACAGTCAATCTTTCGCTGGATACACAAACTAAAGAAAGCGTGGAATGATTCGATATAAAATCAAACGAGGCACCATTCATTGCGGTGTAGAGAGGAAATATAAACAAAGAAACACCTCTGTTAAACAAAGGAGCACAAGATTCGAGGAATTAGACGACGGAATAAACAAATTCCTTCTTATTGTCATTTCAACAGTATGCTTTTGTTTTACAGACACCAATACTCGCATATCCACACACAGTATCAACGCCAAACATTGAAACAAACCATCACAAAAATCGGAAAAATTAATTAAATTATCGTTGTTTGTTTGGCTACAAACAGTACACAAGGCACGAAATGATATCGATATAAAAAGCAAACTAGGACCCATTCATTTTGGTGTTGAGGAAATATAAACAAAGAAACACTTCTGTTAAACTAAGGAGAACAAGATCAAAGGAATTACACGATGGAATAAACAAATTCCTCCTTATAATTTATTGCAATTTCATTTTTTTTACAGGCAACAACGCAAGCACACGTACGCACACAAACAGCATCCAACATTGTAACACCACACACATCCCAGGATATTACTTTTCACTTTTACATTTTTTAGAACTTTTGTTAGGGAAATATCCTTTGAAAGGTTGAAAACGTGACATCGAACTCAAGGAGAGCAGCAACACAACAGTTTATATCATATTTTTAATTAATACATTTATTGGTTGACAACAAAAATTAGATACGTTCTTCACGTAGCATGGCAAGCAAGGAGCCCTGATTTTGCCGCATCAGATTTTTACGTTAAAACGCCCTTAAATAATAATAATCTCAGGAAAAAGTCAAGATAAACCCTCGTGGTGGCACTGAACCACGTTTTATTTAGTGAATCCACCATGGCAGTATTGACATTTAACATTGTAACGCCATGTTTAGGGGAAGGATCCTGACATATTGTCCATGTGTTATTCGTGTGTGGCCTATTCTAATTCTTGTAAGGACGACCTCTTCTTTCCTTGATTTTCTGGGTACTGAGCATATTTTTCGAGAATATTTATAGCATTATCCTTTGAGCGTCAGATTTTGGACAATAGAGTTCGTGCAGGCTCGGGCTATCTTGAGCTCCGATAAAAGTCGTTTTTTGGTTTGACTCTCTTTTTTTTCAGAAAAGAAATAAGTCTGCTTAGGATTAATAATTTTGTTTTATTGTGAGCGACTGGGAGTAATTAAAAATGAGGTAGGAGCAATTTATATTATTTTAATTGTATTTTCTTGTTTGTGAAGTTTAAAAGGTTATGCTTATTTTCCCTTAATTATAAGTGTTAATGCCACTTTATTTTCTTGAATTGATTTGTTGTTTGAAACCAGAGTACGATCCCGACGGGACAGTTCTTTTTTTGGGTCCACCTTTAATGGAGTAATAAATTCACGTCCAAAATTAAACCAACTACACCACAAAAATAGAAAGAATTTAGAAAACGGTCAATCTTCGGACGGATACATAAACTTAAAAAACATGGTGGTTATGCCATAGGCCTATAATAATTAAATTTAGAAAAAAGTAAATTAAACTAAAAATAACACTTTCAAATTAAATTGTTAAAATAGTTAACAAAAAATGCGGAAAACATAGGAAAATTAGAAAATTACTTTCCGTGAGGAGAGGTGCTCACCTTTAAAAGACGATCCGCTCCATAGCCTAGTTTTCCGCCGGGAATGATGAGGAAAATGCTGTGGACATAGATCGCATTTTTCCGGATGTAATTTTCTCGAGGTTGAAATAAAAAGAGGACTTCTTTGGGAGGAGAAAGAACTGCTGTCGAGAATATCGAGAAGTGAACAAAAGCACAACGGCAACACAAAACAAAATACTGCCGAAAAGCAGACTGTTTCAAGTTCATAACACACCCCGCTCAATAATCATCTGATCTTACCGCGGGCCAATCAGAGGTCGGAGGGCTTAAATAATACAACTAATTTGAATTTTAATAACAATTTTTAATTAATTATTTTTTAATAAGGAAAGAAAATGAACTGGGCTTCGGCGACGACATGGAATGTTATCGATATAGAAATCAAACGAGGTACCATTTATTTTGGAAGCGACCGTAGATACAGAAAAGGAAAAACTTCTGTCAATGTAAGCACCATACCAATGAATTAGACCTTGGAATCGGTATGTTACATTTTTTAACGTTGTAACTTTTGTAAATCAATGCATGCCAAAATATTTTCATCGCCCAGCAAACTATAGGTCAACAGTGTTTGTTTTTCTGTGGGCAAAAAAATTTTTATTTCATTTTTCTCTCTACCTCAATTTTTATATACTCAAACTTTCAACTTACTCATATTTTTCAGAATAAAACCCTGATAAAGACTCAACAAATAATAAAGTTACAATAAATACCTACATGCATAATAAAAATTTTTATTAATCCCCCCACCTCCGTTACATGTCAGTATCAATGTAAAAAATGCATAAAATCCTTTGTTAAAAAGGGACTTTCATGTACAGTTTAGAATGGTAGCTAGTTTAATATGATACAAAAAAGTGACCATGACCCAAATATTCAGAATAAAAACTGAATTATTTTCTTGTTTATTGTACAGTATGCTTTTGTTTTATATGCACCAATACAAGCACACATATCCACAGGCATAGCATCTACACCAGACATTAAAACATCACACACTTCCGATCACATCTCTAAGATTCGTTACAATTTTTAACGTTGTAACTTTTGTAAATCAATACATGCCAAAATATTTTCATCGCCCAGCAAACTACAGGGCAACAGTGTTTGTTTTTCTGTGTGCAAAAAAATTTTTATTTCATTTTTCTCTCTACCTCAATTTATATATACTCAAACACCCTGATAAAGGCTCAATAAATAATAGAGCCACAATAATACATGCTTGATAAACATTTTTATTAATCCCCCATCTACCTTACAGGTCAGTATCAATTTAAAATAAGCATAAAATCCTTTGTTAAAAAGTGACTTTCAAGTACAGTTTAGAATGCCGGCTAGTTTAATATGATACAAAAAAGTGACCATGACTTAAATATTCAAAATAAAAACAAGTTCCTGCTTATTGTTTATTGCAACAGTAGCTTTTGTTTTACAGGCACCAGCACCTACACCTACGTGGAATGACATAATTCAAAAAATGTTTTAAGCCTATCAGTTAGCATATGGAAAATTCAATAAGCTCAAAATGTCGGAATGATTTAAGCACAAAATCTCGTCGATCTTCATTGTTGGCTGAAGACAGAGCCAGAAAACATCCAATCCAATTGGATACTGGTAAGTGGAGGTCCATCGCAAATCAACTTGTAGAATTTGTACTATTGTTTTGACAGTTAAATGTTACCAAAGTTATGTATTAAATTAAATGTAATTAATAATTCAAATAATTTGCTTTTATTCCATTCGATTCAATTTTATTGATGAGTCATATTGAACACTGAATAGATGCACTTAAACACCTTGTTTCTCATTTCAGATATTTTTCTAATTATTTTTTCTAAATCATCTTAATGTTTAATAAACTTAATGTTTTTGGCCAGCTCTTCAATATCTATTTTCTTTTTGTGCGCTGTAAGCTGGCCCATTGAAAAACAAAAATAAAAATCAATTCAGCCATAAAAATTTAAAAAAAAAATCAAAACAACTTAATATTGATTTTGAAATTAATTTTATAGGAAACTGAAACAGTCGAAGAACAGAAAGAGGATTGTGAGGAATGCCAGGACAATTTGTATCTTGCCAAAGAAAGTATTGGGTTGTCCGGAAAATAATGCAGGATTTTGGTATTAAACAAAAAAAAAGAAACTAGTTACTTTAAAGCAATGTTCTTTAATCAAAATAATTTCCCATACTCTCAATACATTTCTCCCAACGTGTTGGTAACTTATTAATTCCGTCTGAGTAGAATTCAGAATTTTTAGAATTGATAAAGTCAATAAATGCATTTTCCAGTTCCGTTTGATTTTTGAATATTATGTGTTGTAAGTAGTGGTCCAGGTGTCTAAAAAAATGGTAGTCAGTAGGCGAGAGGTCCGGAGAGTAGGGTGGGTGAGGCAAAGTTTCATAGCCAAGCTCCAATAATTTTTGTGACGTTACACGTGACACATGTGGTCGAGCGTTGTCATGCAACAAAATGGGCCCTTTCCGATTGACCAAAGAGGGCTTCATTACTGCCAATTTCTGATGCATGGTATTAATTTGGTTACAGTATGATTCAGCATTGATGGTTTCGCCAGGATTTAAGAAGCTGTAGTGTATTAAACCAAATGAAGCCCACCATACCGTAACCATTACCTTTTTTTGATGAGTTGGGGGCTTTGGAAAATGTATTGGAGCTTCTCCTTTGTCGAGCCACTGTCCAGAACGTCTAGTGTTATCGTAGAGAATCCACTTTTCGTCACATGTAACAATTCTGGCCAGAAATGGGTCATTTTTGTTTCGACAAAGAAGTGATGCACAAACATCAAAGCGCTGATTTTTTTGGCGATCGTTTAATGAGTGTGGAACCCAATTTTCGAGTTTTTTCACTTTTCCAATCGCCTTGAGGTGGTCAGCGACGGTCGTTTTACTGACTTTGAGTTGCTCTGCAAGTTCTCGAACAGTTGTTTTGGGGTTTTCTTCCACCACTGATCGCAGAACATCATCATTAAGAGAGGAAGGCCTTCCACGACCTTCTTCATCTTCAAGGCTGAAATCTCCCTCCCGAAATTTTTTAAACCACCTTTGCACAGTGCACTCATTAACACAACCCTCGCCCCAGACTTGGTTAATGTTTCTAGCCGTTTGGGCTCCGCTTCGGCCGAGTTTAAACTCGTAAAAGAAAATCGTACGAAATTCTCGCTTTGACATTATAAGGATGACTGAATTATTTCCAAGTAGCGGAATGCTACAGAGGTAAACAAACAATATCATTTGGAAGAGGATTAATAAGTGTTGACATTCATACAAATGAGTAATCCTGTAAACGTAAACAGAATATTTTATATAGATTTTTTTTAATGAAAACTTAAAATCCTGCATTATTTTCCGGACAACCCAATAGTATAGAAGCTCAAAAGTTCGAGGAGAAAGTTGAAAATCCTGAAGAAATTAAGCCAGAACCAACCAAGCCAATGAAAGAGGATGAAAACTTGGATTCAATCCTGCAATCCAATTAGATAGAAAAGAAGAATCTGACAATGTAGCAAATAATGAAAGAAAAGATGAATCTGGCATTTAAAGCGTTCAAGCAAATAATGTAAGAAAAGAAAAATCTGACGTCCGTCAGCTCAGTTCCACTACTATCCCAGATAATCCTCCATATCGATTGAGATGCCGATGGCCACACGATGCTGTATGTACTGACAAAGAAAATTATAAAAGTTGTCGTTATGTATTTCTTCCAAAGGGGGCTCACCACTGGATGATTTCTCCTCACATGTTTTTCATGACAATCTTTTCCTTACAGCATTTTTACCATTGTAATTGTGTTACAGATGTAAAAATCAATAATAAAAATGTAAAAAAAAAGGTCAAAAATTAATAGGGGAGCTGTTGATATAAGGAGGGGATAGCGATCTGTATTAATGTGTTTATTTGAAATTAATATGACTGGGGGGGGGCATTAGTGGCTGCAATGGTTTAGGCATTCACATGGTGTTCATACTGTTAGGTAAAAGTCCTGGGTTCAAATCCTGCAGCACTGCATTTGAACCCAACATATTTACAAATGGGCTTTTTTCAAAAACACCAGCAACCCTCGTTAAAAAAAAATAAATAGCTAAATAAAATAAAATGAGGACTTGGATTTGTTAGGATTTAAAAGAATGCTGTTATTTCTTGACCATTAGTTGAGAGTATGAAGGTCATGGTTGGCCATTCTACTGTCAGATTTGAACAATTGTGACTACATGGTAGAATTTATCATTCTTCATTTCTGGTTTCAGGATTGTGCAAAGTTGTTTTCTTTTAAATTTAAACCGGCATCTGCAGTGATAGCAAAGTATAACTCTTCCAAACACAGTAAGGGTATCAGGGAAATATTCAAGGAAGAAAAGATTCAAGTTGTTAACCTTTCAGCTTATTTAATGCCTTCATCAAGACTACAATCTCTACAATACTCTTACGGCATATATTACATCAGAAGACTGATAAAAAGTCATCAAAGGAACTTCATGTTCCATGACAAACGAGGGTGAAACCTTTTGGCCGTTCATTTATTTCCCCCTCCACCACATGGAACAATCCAACAAACGTTTTCCTCGAATTTGCTGAGACATTGAATGAGCCAGCAGTGAGTTCTTGAACAACCATATAGGCTCACCGGTTGAAAAGTCACTGAGATTTTAACAGTTTGCTGGAATGGTCATGATATTTTGAAGGTGCCCTAATGTTCCTTCATTAGGACACATTCATGCTACTAAAAATATTAACCTAATCTAAACTTGGCAGGTCTCTGGATACAGATGCACCACTGAAGACCCACCATTACAACTAAAAGAGGGTTTGGCAAAATGTTATCACCTTGCCAACCTTCGTACAGGGTAAATTCAAGGTCTGTACAATTTAAAAATTGACGAGACCTTGAGATTTTGACATTGTCCAGTCACCCTGATATTCCACATATCCATTATACTAATTAACCTAACTTGTTCGATGGTGTGGAGTACTTTATACTCCCCCAATATATACCACTCATACATAACCACTCTTATTAATAAATACAAATGACCTCGGTAAAAATTTTTACAACCAAAGTGCTGATGACTCTTCTCTCGCATCACACTACAAATATGTAATTACCTAGACTATTTAGGTGGGCTTGTGAGTTACACACAGCCACACCCATACTTCAACACTCATGCAAATAAATTTATTCATACAATTAAAAGCGAAAATTACTACATGTGGTGGGTTATCTGCGACCTTGAGCATTTACTGCTCTTTAATATGCAATAAGCTTAGCTTTGTAATAACTGCAATGCCTGAGAACCTTTGTCATGTTGTGGAGGAAGTTCCACCATCTCCTGTGCAGTGCAGTAGTTCTGTTTACCCTATTATTTTGTAGTTTCATTTTTTATTTCACAAAGAATGAATTTCACAAAAAATAAGAAAACCAATATTGCATATTTTATTTGAAGCAATAAATATTACATACAACTTTTTCAGAGCAACTGATGTTCCAGCATGAACAAAAATGGGTTTTATTCCCTTATAATATTAAATCCACTGTAAGAGGGGCTTTGTATTGTTTTTTCATTTTCAAAATCTACGCGCTCAATTCTTGACTTTGGGCTTCCAGTGTTCTTCAGCCAATTTTTCCTTAAAAAATAATAATAATAATAATAAATAAACCAAATATAACTTTTAAGCAACTCACATTTTTTCAATTGCAGAGACTCGCCCTTCCAAAGCACCGATAACAGTTCCACGTGGAGTGTTTTGGACAAATCCATTGAGCCCGAGTTTTTTTGCATTTTCACACGTGTACTGTTAAATGAAATTAATAAGGAATTTATCCTTATAATTTATTTTAACAATAATTAAGATATACTTACCTTTCTAAAGAATACCCCTGGTGGCAAAAAAATATATATAAAATAAATATTTAAAAAAATAATCTAGCTCTCTCCTTATCTATTAATTTAATTAATTATTATAAGATGTTGATGATGGGTGTTGGTCTGTGACTCAGTGATCTGGCTCTTTTTTGGGTCTAAAGGGTTGGTTCCTCACTGAGGTGGCTGAGTAATTCAACAAACCCACGAGTGAAGATGGACCCAAAAAAGTGACACTAAGCTGGTTTAGCATAAGTATTATTAAATGTGTTTAACTATTTTTATATAAATTCATATTGACCTTACATGAGGTGATTTGTGTTCAAGTTGGAATATTTTCTTACTATGCAGTTGCAAATGTAATTCAAATTAAAATCACCAAAATACAATTAGCATTTTATGAGAAAGTATGAATAATGTACTCCTTTGCGATTGAGGTTTACCATTATGAACACAGATAATGGAAAATAATTTGGTCAGTGGCAATTTAACAATACACAGGCCTAAGAAATTTGTATTTTGATAATTTATTAGTTACCTGTTAATTAGCAGGAACAGCTAGAATCATGACTTAAATGGTGAGCTGTTTACAAACAATTTTACATTGATCTGGAGAACTTGTATGCACGAGTACTAGTAGTAGGAGTAAAAACTATCTGAACAAATTATTTCTGCACATTTATCTTTATAATTATTGTTTCTGGTGAATTGGTATATTTTTGGTGTATTTATTTAATATTCAGTTACATACATAAAAAGTAATCAAGCAACCATTAATTGAAAAGTATTTGAACAGAAGAGACAAAGGACAGCATGTGTTGACATACAAGTGAAGCTGAACTCTTTTTGGTTAAATAGCATAACACTCAGATTATAATATTGTAAAAATCTATTAACTATTTAAGTTTGATGTTTGATAAGTAAACAGTTAAAGGGAGAAAAATATTTATGTCCTATAGGAAAAAAAAAGGTTGGTTTGATTGAAATCAAAGGAGAAACAGTCTATTCAAAGTAAAAAAAGGTAGATTAAATTAGATTAGAAAAGGAATTGGCCTCTTTATGACCTTCGCATCTCCATTGTGCCTAGAGTTCCTCAAAGCTTAAGGCCTTTTACCAATCCTTCAAGCCTAAACTTTTCCTCTCCCAGGAGTAGGAATCCCAGCCTGCTTAAATGCTTGCACCAACAGAGGACATGTTCCACTATTTTGTCTCCTTCCTGGCATTGTCTGCACAGGCCTGTTTCTGCTGCTCCGAGTCTATGGACTCTGCAGTGTCGTCAGCAGTCCAACAATTGAATAGTCATGAATTTCACACATCTCTGTCCTGGAATACATTCCCATTGACGTAGGACTTATTTTTGATGTATTATTGGATCGACCACATTTTTGGCAGTTTGGTATGCCAGAAGGTTCATGCCCAATAGGCTTCCTCATTGAACGTTTCTTGGCCAATTTATTGACCCTTTTATGGCCTCTCTGCCCTAAACCCAGACAAGGGAATTTTTGTTTTTAACAAACCTTACCACTGAGGAAATGGTTGATATTTTACAGTAATTGTTGATATTTATGTGCCCACGAATTAGTTGAAGATTCCTGAGTAATGCTCATACATACATTTTTTTTTTTGTAACATTAAATGGAAAATACTTGTTTATTTATTTCAGTTTATTGTGTACTTTTGTAGCAGATATCTAATACTTTTATTTTCTCTTTAGTGCAATTATTTACCAGTCTTAAACAAGCATCCATACAATTAAGAATGTATTCAGTTCAACCAGAATGTACAAAAACATAGCTATCAAAGCACTAAGGAGACGTCATCAACAAAAACTAAATAAATTAATATGCAAAATAAAGTAACTCTCTACTGGGTCCCAGGATACGCAGGAGTAGAAGAAATGATAAGCCCTTGCAGGGGGCTACCATTGATAGGTCCATCTGTGGCTTAAGGATTCACACAATCATGGTGTTCAAAAGGCAACAAAAAATAATAGTATCCACTCCAAAATTACATGCAAATTAGTGTTAGTAAGGCTGTTTTTCTTTAGTAACTTTTTGTTTGTTTTATAAATCTCCAAATTCTTTTTCCCACACTGTAACTGTTATTTCTGACTAGCAAACCTGTGCCAAGGAGATTAAAAGGCCAGGTATCGTTAACAGAAGGCCATCCACTTGGACAATCAGGTGGCACTGAGGGCAATTGCCACATTAGTGAGCATACTGCATTACGGTCCTGTCAGACATTGGGAAAAATAACAAAATTACCTTTGTGTGGTTCAAGGGCACATTGGGTAAAGGAGGCCATAAATTGGCCAAGTATAGTTTGATAAGGACACCTATTGACCCTTTTTGTGGCACACCAAACTTCGAAAAACGTGAATTCACCAGGCAATGGATTAAAAATAAGTTCTTGTTGGGAATGCAACCCAGGACATACGAAAAAGTTTATCAAAGGTCCATCGTAGAAACTAACAACTGAATTACTACATCTACGTCGTGTGTTTATGCAACTAGAATAAAAATTGGACTGCTAACTGGGCACTGCAGACTCCGGAGGCGTATGTATAGACTCAGAGTGGCAGAAAAAGACAGTGCAGATATTGCCACAAAATTAGAAGAGACAGCAGAATATGCCCTCTGTCTGTGCGAAGCACTAAGCAAACTGGGATTCTTACTCTTGAGAGAGAAGACATGACCTGAAGATTACTCATGGGAACGTTGAAAAAAAACTTTGGGATCTGGTAAAAAGTCTTAAGCTTACTGAGGAGTTATAGAGCTCCTAGATAGGATCTTAACAACGGCACTGTGGATGTGAAACTTACCTTGCACCTTACCAAAGACTTCGAAATTTACTGATTTTAGTTCGCTCATATTTACCAAATAGAAAACTTTCAAATCGTTTCTTTTGACAGTATTACAGGAACATTTGACATATGACAGAAATTTTTTAATGAAAATTCATCTGTGTTACATCCACCATAAATAAATAGAACTTGGTAACCAAAGGGGTCTATTCTTTTTGACCTCAATAGCCGGTGTTCGGGACAAACTTCAGTTTGTCTTTCTTCTTTTAAATTAAATAATTAATTACTGTTAACAAGCGAAGATTTAACGTGTGTGTGGTGGTAGTATCCTATGTTCAAAAAAAGTAAACAAAACAAGAATTTATCAACTAGTCTTATAATCTCAGAACATGACGTCACTGAAATTTATTTACAATAAATGGTTTATGCTTTTTATAGAAATGAAAAATTAAAAAACAAAGTAAACAAACAAAAATTAAAAGAACAAGTCTAATTCAAATAGATAAAACTAAACATAAGAAATACAAATAATAATTGAACAATATTAAAATGGGGCGTCAGTGGCCGCAATGGTTTTGGCGATGACACTGCTCATCATTGTAAGATAATGGGACCGTTCTTAAGTCTTAATAATAAATTTGATATAAAGAAGCTACCATGATGAAATGAAACTATTTTACATTTGTTTATAGTAAAAACTATTTTATTAATGGAGCACTAGTTTTGAACAGAGATAAGAGAATGCTGCAATCAGCAAGAGATGAAATGCACTTGAAAATTTTGACATAGTCAGCAAACAGAGAAAATTGCAGATGGGAAAAACAAAGTGCAATATCATCATTAACAAGGGGCGTCCTGCACTCAAACATGACACATGACATACCAACATTTTGTTTTTTCTTTCAAAAATACTGATGCCCCAAGTGCTGATATGACCTCTGCCGTTGCAAACCCTTAAAAAAAGTGTGTATACATAAGTCATTAACATCCCATTCAATCAAAAATTTCGGTATACTTTTTAATTCCGATCTGAGTTTCAACAACCACATTACAACTTCAATAAAAAAAAAGGAAATCTAATGATACAGTCTAGCCTTAATAGGTTTGTATTGCATGGTGTCCAATATTGGAATATTGTAATATTGTATGGAGTCTATACCTTACTACTTACATAAATGCTCTTGAGTCAGTTAAAAATAAAAGAAAATAAAAATTTTAAAAAAATTTACTGCGAAGTTTGATTTCATGAAACAGGCGTACATGGAAACACACCTTATGAACTATTTCTTCAATAGTGACATTATATTCATGTACAAACTAATCTACGATTCAATAGATTGTTTCAATTTCTTTCACTTGCTTAACTTTCATATCACCAGATGCAATGCCAGACATTCTCATTTTTTTCTAAATTTTCCCACCAAAATTCCACCAACTACCTCAAACACTCCAGCCTACCGAGGCTCATGAACAATACATATTCCCTTCATAGTTCCTTTGACATTTTGAACTGTACCATTGCATTAAATTACAAATTAATTTAGTTAAGCGAAAAGTTTTCATGTGTAATAATGGCATTTTCAAGATGTATATTATGCATCTCAATATTTATGCTGATATTGTCTAAATTTGTTCTCTAGTTTTATTTATATATTCTATATGCCTCATTATTATTTTTGTTGTGTTATTAATAACATAATTTGTTGTAGATTATTTGGAGATTGTGAGATGCAGTCTGGTGTGACATAGGTTTTAGACTGCCAACGTTTGCCATTGACAAAGAAAATGTTTTTCTAAAACCTGTCACACAATCTCCAAATAACAGTAACTAACAGTCACTAAACACCACATGTAATTTGTTGTATAATTAATTTAATAGTCATCTCATGTTAGTCATTGTTTTTTAATATTTGTTTTTTTTAATTATTATTTTATTTTTATTCTTTAAATATTTGCATTCTCTAACATTGAATTTCATCATGTAATTGGGTATAACTCGTAAATAAATAAATAAAGAAAGAAAAAAAGAAATGTTTTGGTGTGAGCAATCAATGACGTCAGAAGTAAATTATTGGCCTAAAAAAACAATTTCACTTCTTAGTCTAAGGTGGATAGGTAAAAGCCAAAAGCAAGGTTTTACACTCAAATCCCCACATGTTGATGTTTGTTGCCTCAGTTGGGGTGTTACTTTATTAATTCATATCGTTCGAGGAATTTCAGCGATTTTTGTGATATTTTCCATCTAAACAATCATGGTAAGTTTTTATTAATAATAGATACTAATAATAACAAAGTAAAATCTGTATCCTGTTAGTAGAACCATCATTTACAAAAGGGGTGTTTTTTATTTTATCAAAATTTAATACCGACTGCCGATCCATGGATTGAAGTGTCTCTGATCTTTGAAGATGTAATAATACATTGTACGAAAAAAAATTCTTATTTATGTAGTAAAAAAGACTGTTCAAATGCCCTAAAGTTCGGTGTTGGCATTAGTCCCATTATCCTTCCTATAACGTTTTTGATAGGGTCTGGCACCGGGGAAGCTTTATAAATTTAAATGCTAGAAATGATGCGTGAGAGCTAGAGTGAGTGTGGTGTTTAATCCTTTTTAAAAAGATAGTTCCTACTCACGGTGAGTTGTTTTGCAACGATCCGGATTTTGAGCCCTTAGCTCATCATCAGGTTGAAGGAGTAATACAAGCACGTCTCTTGACATGAACTCTTTCAACCTCATGATGAGCTAAAAGCTCGAAATCCGGATTGTGAGTAGGAACTATCTTTTTAAAAAGATTGAACATTAAATGCTTACTACCAACTCATTATCTTATCATAAAATTCTACCTAACAGACTGCTGCTTCAGAGTGTGTGGCAACGAGTTCCCGGAAATCAGATACATGCCAGTGTCCCACAAGGGTGCATTCTTTGCCCCATCCTTTATGTCACTTGTACTGCTGACCTACCTATACACCCTAATACTATCATCACTACTAACGCGAACTATCCGGAATTTTGTTCTATAACTCGATTCATATCCAAACTACCTCCAACAAACAATGTGCTTATATAAGACTGGTGCAAAAAGTGCCCATTGGGGGGGCGGGAGAAAAAAAAGTCATGCTCTCCACTTTACATCAACAACAAAGAGAAGATAGTTAAAAAGTTTTTATCGATGTCGAGGGTAAATTCCAATGTATATGACTGATCGAACCAGCAAGGATAGGCAGACGGTAACGACCAAATTACTGGTTTGGTACCACATGGAAAAATCTTACAAATTATATGAGAAAAAGTACAACCTCATTATTCATCGACTTAAATATCGGGTTGTCCGGAAAATAATGCAGGATTTTAAGTTTTCATTAAAAAAAATCTATATAAAATATTCTGTTTACGTTTACAGGATTACTCATTTGTATGAATGTCAACACTTATTAATCCTCTTCCAAATGATATTGTTTGTTTACCTCTGTAGCATTCCGCTACTTGGAAATAATTCAGTCATCCTTATAATGTCAAAGCGAGAATTTCGTACGATTTTCTTTTACGAGTTTAAACTCGGCCGAAGCGGAGCCCAAACGGCTAGAAACATTAACCAAGTCTGGGGCGAGGGTTGTGTTAATGAGTGCACTGTGCAAAGGTGGTTTAAAAAATTTCGGGAGGGAGATTTCAGCCTTGAAGATGAAGAAGGTCGTGGAAGGCCTTCCTCTCTTAATGATGATGTTCTGCGATCAGTGGTGGAAGAAAACCCCAAAACAACTGTTCGAGAACTTGCAGAGCAACTCAAAGTCAGTAAAACGACCGTCGCTGACCACCTCAAGGCGATTGGAAAAGTGAAAAAACTCGAAAATTGGGTTCCACACTCATTAAACGATCGCCAAAAAAATCAGCGCTTTGATGTTTGTGCATCACTTCTTTGTCGAAACAAAAATGACCCATTTCTGGCCAGAATTGTTACATGTGACGAAAAGTGGATTCTCTACGATAACACTAGACGTTCTGGACAGTGGCTCGACAAAGGAGAAGCTCCAATACATTTTCCAAAGCCCCCAACTCATCAAAAAAAGGTAATGGTTACGGTATGGTGGGCTTCATTTGGTTTAATACACTACAGCTTCTTAAATCCTGGCGAAACCATCAATGCTGAATCATACTGTAACCAAATTAATACCATGCATCAGAAATTGGCAGTAATGAAGCCCTCTTTGGTCAATCGGAAAGGGCCCATTTTGTTGCATGACAACGCTCGACCACATGTGTCACGTGTAACGTCACAAAAATTATTGGAGCTTGGCTATGAAACTTTGCCTCACCCACCCTACTCTCCGGACCTCTCGCCTACTGACTACCATTTTTTTAGACACCTGGACCACTACTTACAACACATAATATTCAAAAATCAAACGGAACTGGAAAATGCATTTATTGACTTTATCAATTCTAAAAATTCTGAATTCTACTCAGACGGAATTAATAAGTTACCAACACGTTGGGAGAAATGTATTGAGAGTATGGGAAATTATTTTGATTAAAGAACATTGCTTTAAAGTAACTAGTTTCTTTTTTTTTTGTTTAATACCAAAATCCTGCATTATTTTCCGGACAACCCAATACATCATCAAAAGAAATTGTTAAAAACGCCTATTATTTTAAATAGCTGATTTTACAGAGGTTGTATATAAATTCTTCAAGTTAAAAATATAAAAAATATTAAAAGCAACAAACAAAAAGAAATAGACAATAAAATATAATAAAAACCAAGTATAATCTAAAAATAATTATCAAGCAACACACTGGGAAGTAAGACATTATTTGATAATAAAATTAATTTTCATTGTGTTAAATTAGTAAAAAGCACTTTAACAAACATTCAATCTCAATGAAATTTAAAGGATTTTTTTTCCCCCAGGGCAAAAGCAAACAGGCACATAAATTGGCATCCCAAAGGTTTGCACATATGAAGAAGATGATAAGTTTAAAAGACCCCAGAGTGTAAGTACATTTTATCAAATAAATAATTGATTTTCGTGTAACATTAATTGAAGAAGGGATTTCATAGCTAAGCTATTCTTGTCCTGCTGAGCATGCTGAATCCCAGCCCAAACCATGACACCACCTCCACCGATTTGACGTTGGCTCAACAGTACTTTTTCTTTCTATAGGTCGTGAAAATCAAGACTATCCAAATTAAAATGTTTTTTGTCGCTAAAAATTACTTCTCTCCACTTCTTTTTTCATGAAACATGTTCAGTGGTGACTCACTTCCTATTGGATTTTTGGGCCTTTGAAAGAGGGGTGTTTGGATTTGAGTTTCATCCGCTTTAAATAGCAGGCTCTTGGTAGAATGCGTTGAAAATTTCGTATTTCCGTGGAAACTCCAGCTTATAAGCAAATTTCTTTCGCAGAGACCGCAGAATTGGATGCTTGGGCGTAGAATAGCCCTCCGTTCTCTAGTAGTTGTTGCCATAGGCCGTCCCGTACTCTTCTTCTGGCCATAATCACAGCCGATCCTAGTGAAATTTCTTATGTGCCTACTTATATTCAAAGTTGGAGCAATTTTTAAAATTGTAAATTTTTTTTCCAGCAATGCATTAATAACAGCCTTCTCATTTTCCGATAGTGCTTTCCCTCTTGGTATTGTAAAAATTTAAAAGAAAAAAATAGGTAATATATCATTTAAGAAGTATACTTTATTTGTCATATGTAAATATTTATATTTTAATACCAAATATTTAAAAAAAAAAGAACAAGATGGAATGAAAGAAGGATTAAAACTGTACTTTTGTAATTAACTTTTTTTAAAATATGTTTTGGTTAAATTGTAATATTTTGTACAGCTAATAACAAATAAAATAAGGGGTGGTGTATAAGTTTGTCAGGGAGTGTATACTGCCTAATGTTTGTAGAGCAATCTTATGATGTACTTGTTAGCTTGAAATCCGGATTGCTGCAAAAGAAAAGACAGTTTGTGAGTACGACTTTTGTATTCAATTGGTGCATTGTTTTCCTGCACCAAAAGTGCACCACTCAATGAATATTTGAAAACCATGATGTCAAATAAGGTCGGTCCAAGAGCAAATCCTTGGGGGACCCCCAGGTACTATACTTCTTAACGGTGACCTTATGCAATCAGTCTGTACTGTCATATCCTATTGGTTAGGTAATTACTAATTAAATCAATTATCATCATCATCATGTTAAATCATCTAAATCAATTTCAATCAGTCATCTAAGAAATTTAAGTTGGTAAGAAAAATGGCGGTAGCGAGAGCAATGTTGTGAAATACTCAAATGAAATGGATTCTGCTGAAAAATTTTATTTTTATTTTTGGCTTTAACAGAAAAGTATTCTTTTTGTAATATGAGAATCAAGTTTGGTCATTTTAATTCATGGTTTCTTCTTTATGAGTGGGAAAAGAAGAAAATCAGCTGAAGCCGTCTACTTTTGTCGTGTTAGTCTACGCTTTGTAACAGAACTGAAACATTCTCAAGTCAAAATTCACTCTCGGAACTCACGTCGGTACTCGCAGTATTTTTAAACCGAGATATATATTTCTTTAGTGATGTCTAGTCCTGTCAAAAACCGTTTTAAAATTACGTCCCTTATTTATTATTAATAGGTTTTATCCCGGGTGTGATTTCACGTGTACATAAAAACATTTGAAACGGCCGTTTTGAAATGATCGATAACACCGATGCAGATTTGACACCTTCACTATTATAAGAAATAAAGTGTTTCAGTTTGATAATTGTACGTGGAAATAACAAAATGTCTGTACATCGCGAGTTACAAAAGTTCAATTCGAGTCCCAACTTGAGTGCGGAAGTCGCGCCCATTCTGTTCAGGGACTGGGAAGACATAACGCAGGATTTTTTCGACAACATAAAAGTTCTGAAGTTGGGCGAGTTACTCCACGACGAGTTGTTCGGACTGTTCGAGGCCATGTCTGCGATTGAAATGATGGATCCGAAGATGGATGCTGGTATGTTATGCAATAGGCTCAAAAAGTCTTCACCGGATAAATTCGACACAAAGCTCAAATTCAGAAATTTCTCCGTGGGCGAGCAAATCGGGATTATCGACACCACTTGGGCCTGTATGGTGTCCTGGTTGGACGGCCATTCTCTGGCGCAGACGGTGTTCACCAACTGCTACCTCTACAATCCGCACTTGCTCTGTGAGAAATCGCTGAAGGCGTTTTGTATAGCTATTTATAAACTGATCGATATAATCCGAGATTTTGTCAATAGAGGGCTTGTCTTTGAAGAGGAAGATATTCAGCCTATGATATACGGCTACAGGCTTCATCCGGACGTTTCCGAAGCGAAAACTGTCTCTATGCTCAAGGAAGTAGAAGATGAGATGATTAAGAAGAAAAAAGCGCAAGCCGCCAATGAAGATGATCAAGGTGAAGAAGAAGATTTGAGTCCTGTAATCCTTCGCATTCGTTTCATCAGGATTTTCTTACAGGCCTTAATGGAGCTGTCAAAAAAAGAGGTGACTCCTGCAGGAGTGGCCGAATGTGGAAAACTGCTTTCTCTCTGTTCTGACCAGATTCCCGCGCTTATTGAATCGAATAGCAAATCTTGCCCTCCGGCCTATGTTTCGGAAGTTCACGGTCCTGTTATGATTGGATTTGACCCTTTATTCAACCAAAGGCTCCTGCCGCCCACCTTTCCCCGATACACGCATATTAAATCTGTGACTGAATCTTATAAAAGGTTGGACGAACTTTTTGTTAGGCTTCGACAAGTTATTAAAATAATAAATTACACATCTTTCCAAGCGGCGTTAGAACTGATGTTGGAAGTGAGCTGTACAAAGCCATGCATAGTGAGTAGGAGTGTGATGCAGCTGTTGTTTCTTCCACAGTGCAGCCGAGTGGGAGATACGATCCATTGTCTAGAAGCCATTAAAGATGCTGCAAAACTTTTTATTTCACCGCCCATACTTATGCCCAGATCTCCTTTGCTCAATAACGCTCAGGCGAAGGATTACTTGCAGTGTTTCTTTGGCCATTGTATTAGACCTTTTAGCAGTCTTGTTCAGCTCTGCGGTCACAATAGAGCTCGCCAAAGAGACAAACTGGCACACCTTTTAGAAGATTTTGCAAATTTACAAGACGAGGCTGAAAGAGTGGATGCCTTTCTCCATAACCTGCCGAATAAGTTTGAGAACTCCAGACCTAATTTGGCTTGTTTTGGTACATGGATTTTGTATCATACTATAAGAATAATGATAATGTTTCTCCTATCTGGTTTCGAGCTAGAACTGTACAGTACACACGAGTACCATTATATTTTCTGGTACTTGTATGAATTTTTGTACACCTGGTTGATTTCGTCGTTATTGAGAGCAGACAGCTTTCTTATCGAACAGGAGAACCAGAATGAACAGAATAAAAACAAACGCAGAAACAAACCAAGGAATAAGAAGAAACTGAGGCCTTACGTTAGGGAAATTACATTGAATCAAGCCCTTCATAGTATGTGCACCGGTTACTACAAGGCGTTGGTTGCCATGAAGAAAGAAGGCAAAATCCCTTATCCCCATCCTGAATTTGACAACGAGCGTGTCCGTTACGAGCACAGATTTGCACCGTTCATCAACATCTTGATCACACCCCCTCCTGTGCAGTACCGTGAGTTTAAAGAAATAAACAGCCGCCAGGAGGAAACTGATGTCTTGAAATTGTACACTCAAGGCTACAGGGCTTTCCATGAGGCAAAGACTCTCCTAGAAACAGTGCACAATCCAAACCAAGAAGTCGCGGATTTAGTGAGAGTCTCCAAAACCAACTTTATTGTATTGAAACTTCTTGCCACAGGACATCAAATCAGTTCTCCAGTTCCGGATTTTGATTTCTCTGTACATCGACATTTTCCTATTATAAAAATTTAAAACAAGTCAGTGCCCATTTAAATATTAAACTTTGGTCATTTTTCCTTATTTTTAATTATTGTTTGTAAATAATATTATAAAAATTAAAAGATAATTTTCCCAATATATTGTTTTAAGATTATTTATATAGATAATTGTCTTTCTACACCAATCAATACAGCAAAAACAATTTCTATAATTTTTATGTAGACCATTTACTTCCATTTAATTATTCTATGCTGTAACAGTAAAAATAAATCTTCAATTTCACACTCGTCAATAAAATCACAAATTAATAATAATTGTTTCATAAAGTATGTAAAATTAATTTTGTTGTCAATGTGCTTTCAAATTATATATATTTTAAACCAAATGTTACTGTATTATTTCTCATCTCTTCCCACGTTTATTTTTGCTGTATAAACATGATAATCTTTGTGAGATAAATTACTGATCACAAACTGAAATAAGCATCTTTGTGCTTTTTCTAAGTTTAGTTTTTAGTATTAAATTTTTTTTCATAGGTTTGTAACTATGAACAAATTGAATGTCAAAAATTTATTGTGATTTATTAAAACCTTCATAAAAAAAATAATGTGGTTTTTAGTTTGGAAAAGCTCGGGAAAAAGAAAATAGAAAAAAAGAAACCGGATGCAGTCAATCATGTGTAAGTTACTTGTGTTTGGTGTTTATTATCTTAACTGTAGAATAATATTTCTAATTATTATTATTCTTCTTTATTTATTTATTTTTTTAGACCGCAGGTGTCATCAGCCCTTTTTTTTCAGTACAACTCGCAGCTTGGGCCTCCGTATCATGTTCTCGTGGACACAAATTTCATAAACTTCTCTATCAAATATAAACTGGACATTATACAAAGCATGATGGACTGCCTTTACGCAAAATGTAATTACACTAAACAATATTGCTTTGTTTGCAATATTAATTCATAATTAATACATTCCTCCCCCTCCAGGCATACCTTACATTACAGACTGCGTATTTGCAGAAATGGAAAAATTGGGTAGGAAATACAAAGTTGCTCTTAGAATAATGAAAGATGACAGATTTGAAAGACTGCCATGCCTCCACAAAGGGACCTATGCTGATGACTGTATCACACAAAGGGTGACTCAGGTACTATGATATGTTTGAATTTTTTTTCCCATTTAGTGAAAAGTGTCTTAATCTGAGTGTTGTTGATTAGTAATTGTTATATTATTAAATTTGATTTACAGCACAAATGTTACATTGTTGCTACCAATGATAGGGATCTGAAAAGAAGAATAAGGAAAATTCCAGGTGTACCGATCATGTATATTGCTCATCATAGGTCAGTTTCCCATAGATTTTATTAATTTTAATAAGAATAAGAAACATTTATTTTATTTCTTTTCAGGTACACAATTGAAAGGATGCCTGATGCCTATGGAGCTCCAAGGGAGTAGTTTTAGTTTATGCTATTGGTTTTATTAAGTATATATATCCAAAATTCTTAAATAAAATTAACTTTTTTTTTTTTAATTTTATTTTGCCTTTTCATTAAGCGGGTCAAACTAAATGATGCACTATTCTAAAAGCTGTTGTTCAACAAATTCCCAAAGCGACCATGCCAGTGGTTTGGGCATTAAACAATCGGCTTATAGACCTTGTGGTCGTGTGTTCGATTCCCACTTTCACCCCATGAATTTTCTTTCACGCTCCCATTCTCCCAAAAGCATATATCTTATGTCAACTCCTCAATGAACATACTTTGGCTAATATAAAAGTTAAAGGCCATTAAAAAAAAATACAGATTTTTTGCACAAACCACTATTTTCTAGAACTTTATCTGGAATAATAAATTGGAGCAAGAAAATAATTTATTAATACATTATTTTATGAGGATAAAATAAGTAGGTTGTTTGCATCAGAATGTCATAATCATGCTTTTTTTTATTCCCACAAATGAGAATACACTTACCGCCACATACGTAGATGACACCGCCATATTAAAAGCCATCCCTCTTCTACACAAGCTTCACTCATGTTACAAAACCACATATCAACAATTGAAAAATGGAGCAATCTTTGGAAAATAAAGTTTAATCCCTCAGTCACTACATATCACCTTTACACTCCGTCGTGAGACTTGTCCTAGCATATACTTATACAATGAACCTGTTCCTCAATCCGACCTGTTCATCAAAGTTAACTATTTAGGACTTACATTTGATAGAAGACTAACTTGGAATCCATACACACGATTAAAAAAACAGACACTGAACAAACGATTTAAAATTAAAATGCTTTATTACCTAGTCAACCGACAATCAAAATTACCAATAAAATCAAAACTTTCGTCATACACATACCTACTCAAGCCTATTTGGATGTACGGGTGCCAAGTATATGGTTTAGCCAACTATTCCAATATTCAAAGATTTCAATCCAAAATTTTAAGACATTGTTTCTGCCCCTTTTTACACAAACAATAACACATTTCACAGAGATCTTCAAATCCCAACAGTTTTTTTCATCCATCAAAACATATTACAGACGTTTTCATAGTAAATTACAAAATCACACCAACACACAAATACAATTACTCAATTCCCTACCGTTACCACATAAACATCTGAAAAGAATATGGATAAGAGACCTCTTAAATGATTAATATTTCATTAATCCAGAGCGGCTGCCATTGGGTAGCTTTCTCTGTAATGCCTGTAATGCCACAAACACAAATTACCCAATCTGTTGTATATAATACATGTACAGTTGTAGATACAAATAAATGAAGTAAAAAAAAATTCTTAACATCAGAATAAAAATAAAATTGAAAGGAGGCAATGTATCAGATGGCTACAAAATAAAGCAGGAGGTTACTTATTTTTATTAATTTGGTTGATCAATTTTTTCATCTCTTTTATGGGGAGGAGATAAAAATGTAGTTCCACTGGTAAACTATAAAACCTTTGCTCCTCTTAAAAGGCGTAGAAATATTTAAATATCTAGTAGACTTTTGTTTATAGATGTAGGATAATAGCATAGAATAGAAGGGCATGGTGCGTGGGTGGGTCGTATTGGGTAGATCTCCGGGGCAGTCGAGTTGGTTGCTGCTCTCATGGGTGTGGGAGGTAGGGCTTCCTGGGCATGGAGATTTGGATTTTTCCACGATTATTTCAAAGCAAATGGTTTTTATCCTCCAAAAAAACTAATGAAAAATCAAATAATCTATATCTATATTATAAAGAAAGAAAGAAAGATGGTTTCTATGTAAGAGGCAATATTTAAATCTATCTGAAGTCAGAGTTTGATTAAATTTTTTTAGACGCATTCCTTATGATCATAGGAATGACATTTTGTCATATTATTGCAGTATCAAGTAAAGATATGTTTTGTATAGTCTTAGAAATACTCGGAAGGTTTGAGGAAAAAAGGCACAAACCTTTACGAGGAAGAAGTAAATTTTCCTCCCCCAAGCTTTTTTTAGTCGCATTTAATATTTTTAGCCTATTCTGTTCTTTAATATACAAATATAACATAATGTATAACAATTGACTAAGTGTGGACTGGGGTAGTAGATTTTTGCCTTTCATTATGATCTGAATGCTACGATTAATAAATTGCAAGAACAAATGTATAAATATGTGGTATTAGATTTGCATGAAGAATATTTCTCACATGTACAATGATACACATGTCAGTTTATTAAGAACCAGAAGTTCAGATAATTAATTTATTTTAATATTAGACGATAGAGACAAAACAAAAAATATGATAAATTCAAATCATTGTAAAAAGAAATAGAATGCACAGTAAAACCTCCATCATCCAGGGTAATCAGGGGGGTCCATGGAAAATAAAAAATCCTGGATAATGGAGTTATTTTTTTGTATACATTACTTTTATTAATAAGTATCCAAAGGAAAACATTTAATTTTTTTCAACTCATAAAAAATTTCCAAAAGGTAAAATAAAAAAACAGGCTTCACAGTAACGTTGACAAAGCGATGATATAGGCCTGTGACACAGATTAGATTTCAAAAATACTCCCCAACACTGTACAAACTTTGAAAGCAGTTTTTTTTTTCTTCAGAAGTCTTTCTGGAACACATCCGTAAATGGGGAAGGGTAACGAATGTGTTCAACAAAATTAGACCAGTGGGAATTTCATAGTAAAAAGATAAATTCTTCAAATCAGAAGTGTCTTGTGGCTATGCAAAATATATACCTGTGAACATAGTATACGTATACGAAGACCCGGACACGATAATCTAACCCAGGATGATATTGCACGTTTTACTTTAAATCTATTTCCATGGTTCCAAATTATTAGGACTAAAGGGTGGAAATTAAACAGTAAATAATTAATATAATGTGGTTTTATTATTATTTTTTATTTTTATTTAGTTAGTAAAGCTTGGTACAAAATCTGATTCTGCCATAAATTCAGATGATTATAAATCCAACGTAACAATAGGAAACTATCCATTTAGTGCTTCTAATTTTGTAAAAAAAAAAATTGATAAAAGGAATACCTTTTTCTTTTCATGAATTTAAGATTGAACATTGACCTGTAAAATAATTTTATATTTAAAGTGTAATGTTTTTCATGCTTTTCAAAAGTAACTCACAATATCGTCAATTTTCAAAATGCTCCTGACAGTTTCCGTAGCAAGGGAAATAGCACTAGTGGAGACTAACAAAGGTTGGACAACATTTTCATCCAAAATATCAGTGATCGAACCCTGTAAACAGACACAAAAATGAATTAAAGATTTTATTTTACTTTTAATAAAATAAATAAAGGAAATAATTTATATCAACCTTTCTGACATTAATGCCCGCGGTGTTTACACCCAAAGAATGTCTCATACGGAGTTCGGTCATAGCTGTGACTGGATTGAGGCCAGCATTTTCAGCAAGCGTGGATGGAATAATTTCCAATGCATTTGCATATTCTTTGATACAGTAAGCATCTACCCCAACAACAGTCCGTGCATAGTTATTCAATTGATAGGAGATTGTGGTCTCTGGAGCACCTCCACCTGCTATTAGTGCACTGGAAAAAAAATTTTTTTTCCCCAATTAATTAAGGTTTTTAGTTGAGTTAAAAAAGTCAGTGTCACAAGTGGGACTCGAACCCACGACCTTCAGGTAGATATGCCGCTACTCTACCACCTGAGTTATCGTGACTTCGATCCACTTGGATACATTATTATTATTATTTTTCACATGTAGTGTAATCTATTTGATTCTCGGCGACAATTGAAATGGACACGGAGAGCTTTAGTGAAGATATACTTCATTTTAACTTATGCAATTCACTACTTTTCGTGGTCCGCTTGACCAATTAATATCTTTCAATTAATTAAGATTTTTAGTTAAGATAAAAAGTCAATGTCACGAGCGGGATTCGAACCCACGACCTTCGTCTAAATACGCCACTGCTCTACCACTTGAGTTATCTTGACTTTCATTTTTCAAATGTATAATCTACTGGAAATGGCAAAAAAGTAGGGAAAATTCAAAAGGTGGGGTTGAGATGGGACGTTAGTGTCCGAGTGGATCGTAGTCACGTCAGGTCTAGTGGTAGAGCAGCGGTGTATTTAGATGAGGGTCATGGGTTCGAAACCCGCTGGTGACAATTTTTTTTATCTCAACCAATACCTTACCTAAAAGAATAATTAATTGAAAGAAGTTATTCGGTCAATTGTACCACGAACTCTAATGGATTTAATCCATAAAATGAAGTATATCTTCACTAAAGCTCTCCATGGCCATTTCAATTGTCACCGAGAATCAAATAGATTACATGACATTTGAAAAATGGCAAAAAGGAGGAAAAATTCGAATGGTTGTAGATTTTGATGGGAAGTTAGTATCTAAGTGGATAGAAGTCACGATAGCTCAGGTGGTAGAGTAGCGGCGTATCTAGCCGAAGGTCGTGGGACATCGACTTTTTTTATTGTAACTAAAACCTTAATTACTTAAAAGATATTAATTGGTCAAGCGGACCACGAAAACTAGTGAATAATAATAATACAACATGAGAAATTTATGTTATGGGTTACCGTTCTTTGACCAAACAACGCACGACACATAGAGCGTCATGAATAGACCTGTCAGCTTCTTCCAACACAAGATTATTACTTCCTCTGACAAGAATAGTTACTGTCCTCCCTGGGTTTTGGATACCGGTGACTTTGACAAATCTTGAACAGCCAGTCTGGATCTCTTCAACGAGTTCGGCGGAGGACAAATTTTCTGGTGTGAAGTGATCCACTGATGCGATCGGCCGACATCCCAAAGTCTAAACATTTCTGGTTTTTCATCTGATTTCAAAGTATTTTAATTACTCAGACATACCTTACAAATGAAGTCAATATCCTCCCTTTCGATATCCTTGACGACCATAATTTTCAATTTGTCAAAAAAATGTATAGCCAAGTCAGACAAGGCATCACGTAATATCGATTTTTGTACAAGGAGAAGATTGCATCCGGCTTTTTTAATCTGCTTGGTAATGTTAAGGATATATGTACGCTCTTCTCTTAAAATCCTATCCATGGCATTGTAATCCGTAACGATAACGTTGTGATCCATCTACGACAACAACTTATCACCACTTTTAACATTTAGATAAATCTAAATCACTTTAAAAAAAATAATAATACATCAGTTTTTGGTGGAGAAATACAAAATTGGATAAGACCAATTTTAACTTTTTCTAAACGTTTCGGTCCATTAACGTTGGCAGATTTGTTTGTAAAGACAAGTCCTTCAATCAATTCAGTGTCTTCCACAGTGCCACCAAGTTTCTTAATAATCTTAATGTCCTGGAAATTATGCATTTAAAATTTAATAAAGGACAAACAGTGAACCAAAACACTACCTTTACAACATAAAATCATAACAAATAAATTGTGGGCAGTTTGATGAAAGAAAAAATGAATAAACAGGGATAAACATTTATGCATGCAGTGTTAATCAATACATAAAAATTTCATGTTAAAATAATAATAAATCAAATACCTTCAAATCTACATTGCGATCATTCTTTGGGTCAACTACTTTTAATACAGCATGGACAGCAAGCGGTGCAAGTAGTGAAGAATGTTGGGAGACAACTTTTGAATTGAGCGAAGTTGAAGCAATTTTAATTAAGCTCTCCCGATCGCTGAGTTCAATGGGTATCGACATTTTCTTGATGATCTCGACTGACTTAAGAGCCGCTTCCCTAAATGCATCCGATATGATAGTCGGATGAATCCCCTTGTTCAGAAGTTTCTCAGCAGCGTCAAGAAGGGCCCCAGCTATTATAACGACTGTCGTAGTACCATCGCCCGCTTCCACATCTTGTGCTTGTGATAATTCCACTAGCTAAAATGTAAATCTTATTAGTTAAAAGCAAATATTTGTGATGGAGGTTATAAATACCATAAACATACCAATTTGGCTGCGGGATGGGTGACGTTCATCTTTTTAAGGATTGTAGCACCATCGTTAGTGATTGTAACATCCTGACCATGTTGTATCTGTAAATTTAATATAAATTTAACTTCTTAATGAAATAATAAAATTTTGGAATAATTATTTAATCATAAGATATTTAAGAGACCAATTAATTGTAATTTCTTTTCTCAACTTAACTTTTTTAGCTCACTCAGTGCTAAGTGGAATATTCGCAACACTCTAGTTTAAAATTAAATCCAATATCTTTGTACATTAGTTACAGATAATTTAGGTTTATCACAGTAAAATAAACAGTAAATCATGCTTTGTTTGCAATCCCATTTGCACAAAAAATAGCATTATGCCCTTCCATTCTGCTACTACTAATGACACGTGGTTTTGGCCAAAGTGTTTACTGAGTTTGTGGATCGTTTCTTTGTTGAGAATGAGTGATGACAGACAGTACTGCCTGGCGGTTTTAAACCATGTCGGTGGGTCGACGAGACCCCCCCCCCTGTTGGATTTGAAAACGTTTTTGTGGAATTGTCATATAGTATTCCATCAGCCTTGCCACATGACCTGTTTTCTAAGCATCCAACTATGCATCTATCATCTGAGTTTTCATGTTTGTTTTTTTCAAAAAAATTCAAAAATAATTAGTTTAGTGAACTAGAGAAGCATCCAGCTCTTTGGGACATGAGGACAGCGATTGCAAACAGGAAGCAAAGCTGGAAAGATATTTTCCTGTTTGGAAAGGAAAGAATGACAACAGAGAGGAATGAATTGGCTAAGTTTATATTATACAGTACAGTTTATTACTTTTGTTTTAATTATATAATATCTAACATGTTAAACAGTGTGCATTTACTTATTAATTAGATTGTAGAAGGTGCTATAAAAGTTGGCCAAAAATTAAGCATTGTTGTAAAAAAAAAAATTATCTTTAGCAGATAGTGATAGGTAGAAATTGGTTGTCATTGGTGTCATCTTCACCTTCATTGTGCAGTTTGACTCCATCTCTTGTTCGAACAAAATTATGCAATACTTCCAACTATGTCGATGGGTTAATGAAAAATGCGCCACTTGTTTGCCAGAATCCCAAATGTACTTTCAATGTATTTTTTGGTAGTGGATAATCATAACAGAGACAGGAAAAGTACTTGTTTTTAGTCATTGCATAAACACAGAGAGAATATAGCGCATTGTAATCATTGAAAATATATAAAAAAGACTTGAACGAGACTGGTCGGCTCCTTTGAAAAGGTAAAAGCTGTGAATGAGTATCAAGATTTGTTTAATTAAAATTAAATTTGCTTAAACATAATGATTTCTAGAGCTTGAGATAGCAAGGGTAGAATACTTATGGGTTGAAAATCATTTCCTTGGAGGAAGAAGGAAAGGGAAAAGTTTTTAATATTTTTAAATGTTAGTTTAGTTCTGTACACATGACAATATGTATATTTACTCGAACCAATTCACCTAGGTTTTCGCACCCCCATTTCTCTGCGTCCTTAAGACAAGCTTTTAAAATTTTAAACATAAATTAAGCTTAGGCTATTGCAAAAATCTGAGCACTTAATATTAAGACTTTTCGAAAGGGGAGAATTTAAAAAATTGAATTTAGACTCACTGATCATCAAAATTATACGGTACTTATTAGATGAGATAGAAACATGAAATTAGGTGAAAAGGTAGGTTTAGAGCAAATAAAGGAAAAAATTTGAAAATGTAATTTTCTCAAAATTAGTGCCGCTTTAGAGGAGGTATAGTTTCACCATAAAAATTATTATTACTTTCTGTATAGTTAGAAGCATGAAATTTGGTACAAAGGTAGGTCTTATATTGTAAAAAAAATGTAAGAACCTAGAAAAGGTAAGAAGAATAACAGTTCTTTTAATTTTATTGCTTAACACTTGGCCAGTTTCTGAATGATGATTAAAACATCAGGACCATGTGCGCTCACACAGGAGAGCGGGTAAAGGAAAGGTAAAGGATCCAGAAGAAATGAAAAAATTCCAGACTCCTCATTGCTCATAAAAGCACGAGTGAGGAAAAGTAGAGAATTCAGAAGAAAAGAAAAAAAGTGCCTCCTCATTGATTATAAAAGACAAGTGAAGTGAGGTTAGCCACAATTTAGATCTTACTACTTGGTAGGTTGACTTTTTTGGTAGGGTGTCTGGAACTTTAAACCTTTTCTTTGGAGTTCTCAGGTTATAGGCTAAAAAAAAGAAGACTTGGCCACAGAGTAAGTATTATATAAACTCTGATGGGTTAATGTTTATGGATGGGGTCTGGAGCCTGGCTTCTACTTCACAGTTAGGTTTTTGTTTGTAGATATTACAAATCATGACATCATGGTACCTGTAGTTGAACGCATATGATGTACATTCCTAATAGGGCCTGAATCTGGCCAAATTGGTATAATTAAAGAGAAAACTCTTTTCTTTCTCCCTGGACACGACCAATACAAAAATCCAAGAGGATTTCAAAACAATCAACATCATATGTGTGATGAGCATAGTGATGCGCCTACAAATGTTTGAGTATGGTAAAAACTTGGAACGTGAAACTTGCTGCAGATGGCCAGCAGGCTCCTCAGAAGACAACTCAGAGGCACATGTTTCTATTATCGGTTCGTCGAACCTGAACACTGACAATTCTCGGATGCCACGATTCCCTATACACGGTAACAAAAGAATAAAGCCCGAAGAGTCAACTTACCATTTTATCCATTCCTTTCGGTCCTAAACTGGTCCGAACAGCATCGGCAACGCCTACAACAAAATTCAGGGTCAATCGTACAACAAAAAATCGAGTATAATCTTAAAGTCCGGCTTCTAGATTGTCGTTTACGAGACGACCGAACCGGGCTTAAAGTTTGAATCGGACCCAATGTTCGGTCAAGTCCGTCAAGTCGAAAAATTAAGCCGGGTGTTACCTTTGGCGGCGTTCATGTTGCTGCTGCGGATTTCCGCCGGCTTCGATTTGTCTTTGTAAACTCCGCCTTGCCTCCTCGCATCTCCTGACGCGTGGCTGGTCATCCTCATTCGGTCGGATATGAAAAATTATCTGAAAACAACAAGAAACCGAGTTGCAACCACGTTCTCGTAATGCTAGAACGAACAGCTAATGGTCAAGACTAACCGGCAGGACTGCCAACCTTACTCTTACTCGCTATACAAATTTTTATCGCACTGTCTATAACATGCATAACGAATGACGTACGATTTAACTTTACGTCCTTTTAACAATTTTAAAAATTAAATTTTTTTGACTTAAAATGCAAAATTATTGCCAGATTTTCATCGAATTCGGAAGGGCACCTCAACCAATTTAATGCCACTAAAAAGATGACCAGTTTGGTGGGTCACGGATCTGACAATGAAAATTTCAAAAACATTCAAAATCTAATTTTAGTCGCAATTAAACGAGCATAAATCGTTGTTTAGAGATTAAAAAAATATTATTTTAGTGTTTATTTCATTGTTGTTTAACATAAAAAAAGATGCAGAATATTCACCGTCACTCCTACTAATTTTCGACCTATAACTTATAAATAATTCAACCTTATCTTTAGCTTATCTATAGCTATTTTTTTACTTTACATATTATTTAATATTTAAGCTTTTTTTTCCCTTCCTTTTGTTTTCTTAGCTTTGGATTTTTATTGTTACATATTTTATATTTTATACAATATATTTTATTGCTATTTATTGGATATTTCTATATTTAAATGTTTTGTAAATTGGATTAATTCCGTAAAATAAATACTATTATTATTATTAAAAATTGGGTGAGGAAATTACGTGATGACGACATTCGGCACTCGTAAGTGGTGGGCGAGAAGCACGACCGACTTTCGCAGTTGGTACTTGGTAGTTGGTACTGACGTTGAAGCCAGGTTATCTCGGTCCGAGCTTTCGAATTGACATCTCCATGATAAACAAACCTGGATGGTTTTTGTGGAATGTTTGCACGGTGAACTTATTTTGATGTTTAAACATTTTTACAAAAAATAATTCGTCTTGCTTTACTGCGTGATGTTTTTAAAAAATTTATTTATTTAGTTATCGATATGGTTGCCTTTAAAAGGTTTTGTTAAACCCTGTTGATAATCAAATGCTTTTAAAACTTGGCAAAAAATGACGAGCAGTTCGGGAGATAGCGCGGCCCCTTTGGATTTCCACATTTCCTCATCGTGCGAGGACAATGGCAAATTGGTCCTTGCGACCGAGGATTGCCCATTGTGCTGTAAAGCGAAAAGGATATTTTACTGCAAATACTGCATCAAGAATGGGAATTTCCTACATTCTTCCTCTCGCTGCTCGGAAAGCTTTATAGACAAAAAGCTCAAGCTGTTGACGTACAAGCAAGAGAAAGCCAAGGCGCAGCAGTCGATCGAGAAAAAACTGACTCCGCATTTGAAAATAGCCCGGATGAAAAGTGACATCAAGACGCACAACGAGCGTATACTGTTTTTGAAACGTTTGATCCAAGACAAAAAGGAAACTATAGCAGAGAAGAAAGAAAAGGTAAAAATTCTCACTGAAACCAACAACGAGAAGAAGATCAGGTTGCCCCGGTATGAGGACAGGGTCGGCCAGTTGAAAGGCTACGTTAAAAAGAGATCCAACGATTTAAAAGAACAAGAAGAAAACTTGAAGAATATCAGAGATAAACTAATGAGACTGAGGAAGGTGAATATTAAACAACTTGTGCAATACATCTTTCCTATAACGGTCGTCAAGCCTTCAGTCAGCCATGAAGAGGACAGCGATACTGTAAGCGCATTAGAAGATGCTTGTCGTACAGCTTACGTCCAAGGAAAATGGGTTTTTACAAATATTTCTTCTGAATTGCAACATTGTATAGTAGCACCGACTCTTCCCAGTTCCGGTGATTACACAGCATACAGCGATTGGGTTGCGGCGAATAAAGACGGTGTTCCGACTTCGACCAACACTATAGATTTCAATCCTGCTTATAACATAAGCGCCGCTCTGACTTACACCACACAGCTCGTGAATATGCTCGCTTATTACTTGGATATAAGATTACCTTCGAAATTGTGCTACAGCGAATTTTGCACGAGCGAACTCAGCAAAGAAAAATTCACGAAGAGGGTGGCCAGGCTTAATTGGAACGTCATTCATCTGTGCCTTTCGCAAAACGTCAACCCGAGCCTGTTAAAAGCAGAAAGCACTTTGGGCAACATCTTGCAGCTGCTTGAAGCCGCAGAGTTGGGGAGGACGGGTGCGTGTGAAATCGATCCTGAGGCGACGAAGACGCTCGAGGAAATGCTGCGCCCGGGTTTGGAGATATGCAGTGATTCTGAAGACTCCGAAGATGATAGCGAGCACTTGTCCTACGAGTGGGAGTCTGTGGCGAACGTAGGGCTTCCTGAGGTCGAAGCTGGTCCCGCTCAAAATCTTGCATCACAACAATTGTCGAGTTCGAGCGTCGCAGGAGGTCTCTTGACTTCTACGGCCGCTTCTATAGTTTCTTTATGGAGAGGATGGGCAACAAATAGGTAGCGAAAAGACTTTTACCACACTATCACATTCTTTTTATGTATATAAATTTTCCATATTAATTACTTGCATAATTGAGTTACACAAAATTTTGACAAATGTAAACATACATTTTACAAACAAACATTTTTGTCAAATCAATATTTTTACAAAAGTGAATGTTGTACAATTAATTTTAAATTAAAAAATTATTAAGACACACAATTAACACTATAAATAAAATATTTTTTATTTGTATTTCCAAATTCAGATGACGTTGTTATATTTTATGGGAACAATAAAAAATGCAATTTAAGTCGTGTCTTATAGCTACAACCTTTTTGTGAAATTTCTTCTTAGTCTACAGGGTGATGAAACTTTGATCTGCCTACCCTAGCTGTTTTGGTCTACCAGATGCCTTTCAGCTTATCATCTGTTTTGTACTTACCATTTTACTATTCCTTAAAAAAAAAAATTCATAAGATGAGAACTGAGAACTTATCGACATACACACTGATGGGGCCTTTTTTCCCCAGAAGTCAATTGCATAGTTGCTTTTTTTCCTTACTAATTTTTTTTATTTTTTACAGTTTTAGAAAGGAAAAAGGAAGGGTTAATAGAAAAGAAATGGCTAGAAGAAAGCAAATCTACGCTTCAGAATTTGAAGTATTACTTACTAATAAAAATTAAGTTTTTGTTAAACAAAAAAAAAGTAGTTCATCTAGAATACGTACATACACATAAGTACTTGTTTTCATATTAATCAATTTAATACATTTCAATCAAGGCAATAAAAAAAATCCTAAAATACATATATTTAAAAGTAAGATATGAGATGATATCAATTCAAAATCCAAAGTGTACAATTTAAAATTTGTAAACGTATTAATTACTGAAAAGCTTACTTTTTTCAGTGTATATCAGAGGAAAGATACAGCCAATGCGAAGTCGCCAGGAGATTGAATGTAAATCACTCTACAATAGGAACGTTTCTTTGGCGCTTCAAAGATACAGAGGTTCAGATTCAGGGTCGACCTACGTCTACCGATGAGGGAGATGATAAATTCATCCATCAGGCTCTACAAAACTGCAGCATTATGGGAAATTAGATGAGAAATCTGGTTAGACAAGTTGGAAATGTCCTGCAGTACTATATTTTTCATAAGAAGAAGGCGGAATGAAAAATAACCTCAGGGCCTGGCATCTGGCTCTTACCACAGAATACAGCATAGAAAATGTGGCTTCAATATGCACAGGAACATGTGAATTGGGAACATGTAAGATTGGGGACAAGTTCTCTTTACAGATGAGGTGAGAGTTGGCCTCAAATCTCAAGGAGACACTTAGGAGAAAAATACTAATGGTCACTCAGGTGGCATTACACGGTGGGTCATTGATGTCCTAGGATGGCATTTCCTTGGATGCCCACCCTAACCATACTAAATTAGTTGTTATGTGAGGAAGATCTTGTTTGAGGCAAAGCATAATTTATCAAAAATGAGATATCTGTTGCTTGGGTGATATGCAAGTTAAGAAAGTAAAAGATAAAAAGAGTTTGAAGTCCTGTAATTGGAAGAAAGAGTTCATAAGGGTTCTCCATATATGCATGTTTCATTTCATGGATTTCCTGTTTTTATTAAAGATCTAATGTGGTTGTTGAATCTTAGATCTGAATAAAAAGGAATAACAAAACCTTTGAAGGAACTAGACTGTTTTAAATTGACACCTTCTAACTTATAATCAAGATGATATAAAGAAGCTACCATGATGAAATGAAACTATTTTACATTTGTTTATAGTAAGAGCCATTGTATTAATGGAGCACCAGTCTTGAACAGAGATAAGAGAATGCTGCAAAATGCACTTAAAAATTTTGACAGCAATCACAGAAAACTGCATAGGGGAAAAAACAAACTGCAATATCATTAACAAGGGGTTCGATTCCAGTGGTCCTGCATTCAAACTTGACACTGACAATTTTGTTTTTTCTGTTGTTGATATGACTTCTGCAGTTTAAACCTGTGTTAATATATATAGTGAAAAAAAAAAAAAATTTTCCACTGGCATAAGAGCATTTATGTAAGTAGTAAGGTATTGACTCCCACAGTATTACAATATCCAATATTGGACACAAAATACTATCATACAAAACTATTAAGGGTAGACATTGTAATTTAGTTTTTATATTCTTTTACTTATTCATTATAATTCAATTTTAATTCTTACCATAGTTTAAATATAAAAAGCTTGCATCATGCATCCAAATCTAAGTACGATTAATTTACAGTTGCTAGGGGGTGTCTGTGGAATTCCCTTCCACAGCATATTTTGTTAGGTCCCGGGGTCGTCTCACTCCTCTACAGACTTTCAGGTGTGAAGCTTTCAATTTTTTTGCAAGCAATCCTTGATTTGATCAAACTAACTCAACACGATCTTGTTGCTATTCTGTTTTTCTTTTCTCTTTTATACTTTTCCTTTATATCTACTTCTCTCCTTCGTTCATATCCAATCATGCTAACATCATACAACTTTTGTTTATTGATATTTTTTGCATTATATTTTTTTATAAATTGAATTGTTTTATATTTCTCTATACACAATAAAGGGGCCAAGCTCTACACTTCATTTTTTTCAAAATATATTTCTATGTTCAAATTTGCAGAAATTGGTGAGCCCGCTGAACTGGTGTGGCGTCATGAATCTGTGTGATGACGATCTATGATGTTGTTGAGGCTATCAAGTCGTGACACCACTATCAGACGCTATCTGTTATCAAAATACATAAATTTATCAAGAGACAAATAATACATAAAAATTAATAGGAGGAAAGAGCCAAAGAGGACATTTCATGAAATGTATTTGTGTCGTGAAGTGAGCAATTTGTGATTAACGCGTGTTCCACCATGTATGACATCCTGATTCGGTTTACAGTAAATCTGCTAGAATAAAAACTATTCGACGTTTCACATATTGTTTACAATTTAGAGCGAAAATTGCACAATCGCTTATTAAAAAAAGGGGGTCATAAATGTCGCTTTAGTGTAGCTTTACATATGCTGGAATGCGTTTATCTTATCGCTTCCCACCCTTTCTTTTACAGGATGTCACGACTGATTAACAATTCGGTCCCCCCAGGATTTTTGTTTGTGATAACTTAGTTGACGCGAGAAGAAAATGAAATTCGGGCTTAAATTTTTATTTTTATTCTTTGCCTTCGTGCACGATTCGCTCTGCCAGCCGCAGTTCGACCTGGACTGCTTGAGGTACTTCGACAAAGTGCTTGTCGGCTTTGTGCCGAAGGGCAACAAAGCGGCTGGCAAGTACACCAAAGCCGGCACGATGTTGGACATAAAGTCTTGCACTGAGCTATGCTGCAAAGACAAGTCCTGCAATGTCGTCTTCATGTACAACACCACTTGCTTCAAGGTAGAAAATACTTCAGTTAATTAAAATCCGACACGGATGAAATGTCGAATTGCCAAGTTCTTTAATTTTGATATTAATGTGTAGAATTTGAATTATTTATGATTGATTAGAGCAATTTTATTTTTGGTTGAATACAATATGTTTTTTTCATTTTATATTAAAAGATGATCAGGCATATCCCTGAAACTGCTAGGTTCCTCCGTCGAGCTTTTGAGGAATATATCTCTTTCATCAGGACTTTTAAACTTTCTGGTGCTGTAATAACTCAATATTTGATTTCGTTTGTTAATCTTTTAAATTAAAAATTAATTTGGTCAAAGCTCAACAAAGGAACTGATTGTTTTCTTTCCGATTGGCCTCATCCCTGATTGTCTTTTATTATATGATTATAATTGTAGGCTGATAACTTTTTTATATTGGATATAATTACACTGATGGACAAATTTAACACACTACTAAATTATTTGTTTACAATTAAATTCATTATCTTTCCACAGTAGTTACAGGTAATTAGGAGCTACTGTAGTCACTATATAAACAGTAAATAATGCTTTGTTTACTTCCTTGGTTTACTTTTGTACTGTTTAATTCCATTTACATAAAAATTAGCATTTTGCTGCACCTAAAGTTCAGTTAAAGTTTCAGTTAATCTTTTTCCTTTGTTCATTTCATTTAATATTATTCTTATTCTTAAACCTATTTCAATGGCTCCAGCATTTGAGTGAGTATGACAGAGTCAGGGTCATAACATTCTTAGAGGAAGGAATCTTTTTTTTTTCTATTGACAATATAGCAGGGACAGCAGAAGCACTTGTTTTTCATTCATCATTGCATAAACACTAATGGAATATAGCGCACTATAATAATTGACAATATAGGAAAACGGCTTGAATGAGACTGGTCGGTTCTTTGAAGTAACTGACACGATGCTGCTAATGAAACTGCAGCACCTGTCAGCTGTGAAAAAAAACCACCATGTTAAATGCTTTGGTCGAAACTTGGGTTCATAGCTCTAAAGATCACTTTCAGTAATCTGTTAATCTTTTTCCTTCATTGATTTCATTTAAATTTTTCTTATTCTCAAACCTTTTTCAATGGCTCCAGTCAGGCATTTGAGTAAGTATGACAGTGTTAGGTTCATACAATTCTTAGGAGAAGGATACAGCCAATGTGAAGTCAGAAGGAGGCTGAGTGAAAATTTTAAAAAGGAAGGGTTCTTTGGCGCATCAGAAAAACAGGGCTTCACACTAGAAGGCTTTGTCCATAGATGAAAGAGATGATAGATTCAACGGTCATCAGGCTTCACAAAATTGCAGCATTATGGGAAATTAGATATGAAATCCGATAAGACAATTCTGAAATGTTTTGATTTCCTTCAGGACTGTAAGAAGAAGGCTCAATGAAAATAACCTCAGGGCCTGGCGCTCGGGCCGTGGACCTCTTTTTACCACAGCTCAAAAATGGCCAGGCTGTTTGCATGGGAACGTATGAATTGGACATTGGAAGATTAGGGGGTGAGTTCTCTTTTCTGATGAGATGTTAGTTAGCCTAAAATCTTCAAATGGGCATAATTTCATATAGAGATGTCAAGAAAAGGTATGCCCCATGTTGTATAGTTCCTCAGGTGGTTCCATGTGTATCATTGGTGTTCTGAAGTAGCATTTCCTTGGACGCCCGCACTGAACTGGTTGTTGTTCGACGAAAATCTCTAACTTCACAGATTAATTGCAAGGCATAATTGAAGAAAATGTAGTGCCGTTTGCCCCCCTCCCACATCGGTGAGAGGATATCGCTAATGCAGGATAATGCCAAGCCCCATAGAGCACGTATTGTGTATGACTACCTGAATGAGGTTGGAATTGTGTGCTTGGTGTGGCCAGCTCGAAGTCCAGGTTTGAACCCAATCACATTAGGGACCAATTTAAGCAATGAGTTCGACGGCGAAGCCCTGGTCTTTACATGCTAGAAGAGTCGGAAACTGCTGTTCTTGATGAATGCAAAAGAGTTCAAGATTTTATCAGAAATCTCGTCTGAGAAATGCAAAGGCATTTAATAGATGTAATTCGAGCCAGGGGTGGAAATACTCTGTATTAATGGATACAAAAAGGTTTTAAAAAAATATTTTTATGTTTTTGATTTTTTAAAACTCAGTAGTTGTGTTTTAGAATTAGGTAATAAACATTTTCTTTTTAAATGTCTTATTTTTACAACCAAACCTATTTTTGGTTGCAAAATATGAATGAACTTAAATACATTCTAATTTAAGGTGGTCAATCATTTTGTCCATCAGTGTATTTTTAATAAGCAAATAAACTTAGATTCTGATGGATAAATAGATGGAAAAATAGATAAATCTTGGATGACTTGAGACTATTTTTTTTTTTAAATAAGAAAAAGACATGAATAATCACACAAATAATCTGGATCTCTAGGTCAAAAGTTTGGCAGTAACAATTCAATTTGTTATTTCATCCAGACCGAGATCCAGATTATTCACAAATAAAACCATTAGGTGTTTTGTCTAGAAATTGGTCTGTTTGTGTTTTTACCCATGAGAAAAGGTTAAAAATTTAATAATTATAAAAGACGAAAATTTTTGTTGACACAATCCTTCCGCAATTCAACTTTCCATTTGTACCTACCATGTCTCGCAACGTCCAATGGATTGCCCTGGACCTATACAAAAAAAAAAAAAAATCCTCTCCCCTCCATTACAATGATGGAACGTGGTTCATGTCTGATCTTGAAAAAGCTAATATTTTTCCCCAATATGTTAGTGAGACTCATACCTCCCGGTAACATTTGTGAATATCCTCCTCTCAAAAGGGTCACTCCTTCTGAAGACAATGTATCCTTACTCAGTTGCCAAATGGTAAATGTCCTGGCTTTGACCTTATCACTTTCTGAATCTTCTGCGAATTCGCTAGAAAAAGCCATAATCTTCCTTACATAAATCTTCCCATACAATACTATACATCACAATACACACTTCCCTTTGCTCTGGAACTATTTGAACATCTTCCTTTTTCCTAAACCAGGAAACCCATCCATGCCTCTTCCTACTGAATAATTAGCTTCCTCACTCTGTTCTCAAAAATATTTTAAAGATCCTCCTAAATTTATCAATTGATCCCTAAACCTGCTCTTTCAATCCTCTCCCAGACTACCGATATTCGCTCTCAACACTCCACAACCCAATATGTGCTTTGCTTTGAAGAGCACATATCCACATCATATGTGCGAAAAGAATATTGTACGGGGCCTTTCTAGATGGTCACAAGTGTTCAACTGTATCTGAGGGTCTCCTGTACATACTGAAGTGTGTCCTTCTAAACACCTTATACCTAATCCTTCACTCCTATCTCACAGGACGATTTTTCTGAGTTCACCAATGATCAGACTACTCTGATTACTACTTATGGGAGTGGGAGTGCCACAGGGCAGTGTGCTCAGACCAGTGTACGTCCCCTACATCTCAGACATCTCAGCTACACCCTCTATCCTTCCGTGCATCCTTTGCCGATGACCCAGCTGTGCTTTTCTCTAATCCCGATCTTACAATTGCTTGCGAGGAGCTCCAGGCACATGTCAGACGCCAAATTGAGGATAAACATTAACAAAAACAAATTCACCCATGTTACATTTACCCTCCGAAGTAAAACCTTTCATACAAAATCCCTCAACAATATTTCTATTCTTAAAACTGACTGCATAGCCATCGTCTGCTCTATCTTGATTTGTGTTTAACCTGGAACTGACATATACAACTAAAAAGACAGGAAATGAACAAATGTTTTGTACTATTCTATAAAGTACTTGGACGCAAATCTAACATGTCGAGAAAAAACATACTGACACTGTAAAACATTACTAAATCCAATTTGGACATTAGGACTGGGATATGCCGCTGAACCTACTAATATCAAAAGAGTTCAATCCTTCCAATGCAAAGTCTTCAGAATCAGCCAATGCTCCCTATTATGTTTCTAATACCACCCTCCACAACGATCTCCAAATATCCTTTGTAAATAAATTAATCCCCACCAAATTTTCTAGGTCCATAAAAAACTCTCCACACCCCAACCCATTAGCCCATTTCCAAGTCCAACATAATCCTGTCAGACGATTAAAACAGAGATGGCTCCCGGGAACTCCTTGCCAAGGACTAGCCCTTGAGTAAAGTTGGGGAGCAGCAAAGGTTGTTAATTCCCTTCAAGACATTTACTGTGTCAATGTGAGTTGTAAATATATATCCAAACATAACATAATGTATTATAACATACAGTTATAAAAAAATGCCTTCTTTCTCATATGTTATTAAAATCAATGGACAGAATCATGGACCTTCGTGTACATATTGCAGCTATTAGTATATCAGATTGTTAAAAAATATATTCAATGAAAAGTAAACGTAAATATCTGTAAAGAATTTACAGCTCTACATTTACACGCAGTAATATAATCATGTTGGTACGTAAGATGATGTAAAATGTATAAATATTGACCCTTTAAGTAACCAAAATTGCTAAATTACCTTAAAAAAAGCTTAATTTTTTAAGCGAAATATAATGTTATTCGTCCGCTTTACAGATAGAATGTGAAAATGATGAATTATGTCAACCTGTCATGCGGCAGGAGTCGAAATACGGAGATCATGTGAAAATGGTCATCGTTCGACCGGTTTCTGTTGAATTCCAAGAAGACTTCTCAGAAAATGGGGAAAAGTAAAACATAATTTTTTTTAACCTAAATGCTCAAATTGAATTTGTACTATAAAAGTGTATGTATTTCAGTGAAGATATGATTGCCGTTGGCTCTGAGACTGATTCTATTAAGCAGTGCGACCTGATGGAGCCAGAAACCTGCGGGATCAATGAACATTGTGTTCCATCACAAATTGCCCAAACAAATGTCTGTGAATGCAAAGATGGTTTTGAACGAAACATGGATACTATCTGTGTTGCATGTAAGTTTTCATATTCAATTTTTTTTCTATACTTTTTTTTTTTTAATTATGTTACCAGCGTTGTCAGGAATAGTTCTGTATTTCTATTGGCTGATGATTTAAAGCTGTTTAATGCTGTACGTCTCGAGTCAGATTGTACTGCCATTGAGGATGATCTTGATGCATTTGTTGATTGGATCGCAACATGCTTAGGGTGAATTAGGAAAAGTGCAAAGTTATTTGTTTTTTGAACAGGATAAACTTTTTATTCTATTGAGGGTAAGCAGGTGGAGGAAAAATTTAAGATACTAGATCTCGGGGTAATTTTTAACAGTCAATGCAACTTCTGTGATTATATTGATGCTGAGATCTCCAAGCATATTAGGAACTTGTGTCTTATTAAAAGGACGACTTACTGGTGATTTTAGCGACTCATTTGCTATAATTTTGTTTCAATCCTTAGCATATTGAGTATGAATAAATTGTTTATGGTACTTGCAATTTGATTGATGTTGACAGACTGAAGAATGCTCAGAGCTTTATCAGGTATTTTCATAGAGCATGTTTTTTAAGATGGGGATTTATATTGTGTTTTGCTTGATAGTTTTGGGCTAAATACCATTAAATATAGACTCTTGGCTTGTGTTACCTTTTGTTGAAAATGTATAACGATGTAGGTTAGAAAAACATTTTCTTTATCTTGCCAATGTTTTGATTTTTATTGCGATCATCTTCAGGGCCTGGAGTTTATAAACATTGTTTAAATTATACAAATGCATATAGGATATAACTATGAATTTATAAAATGATGGACACATAGAAAGTTTTACCAGACAGCATCTCACGATCTTTAAATAATTAGTAATTAACAGTCACTAAATATTACACATTTAGGTTTAAACACTTCAAAAGACATTTGAAAGATAGGTTGAAATATGGGTTGCCCTCCCCAATGGTGTGGCTTCCGTAATTTTCAATGCATTTGGGTGTGATGATTTGTTTTTTCATGGGTTTCATGCCTTTCAGGTGAGGATATCAGGTTGACTGGCTCTGAGGGAATTGTACAACTGTGTTGATTGTAAGCTTGGCTTTTAGGCTTTTCGGCTTTTAGGTAGGTTTAGAAAAACATTTTCTTTGTCATGCCAACGTTTTGATCTTTATTGAGATCATCTTCAGGGCTTTATAATATTGTTTAAATTATACAAATATATATAAGATATGACTATGAATTTATACAATGATGTACACAGTATAGAATTTTAGGTTTAATCGAAGTATTTGCACTCACTCAAAGTGTGTGTTTTCTATGTAGATGGATCACTGTTGTGTGCTGCAAGAGTTAGTGATATATTGTTTTCTTTATTTATATATGTTTGGTTTTGAAGGAGAGGGGAAGGAAGTAGGGATAGAAATTCATTTTTCTACGAGGAGTCGGCTTCTTTGAGGTGAAAGGGGCTGACAATGGGAAAAAAAGGGGTAATGATTTGTCATTCGGGCCTGATTAGTCTTTCAGGATTATTATAGATGGGATTATTAGGGAAAGGAGAGATATTGGAGATTTAGACTATGTAGAAATGTTTGAAGTGTGGAATGCGATGATTGTTTTATATATGTTTTGTGTGATGTGATGATAATATGTATGTTATTGATATTGAATTTGATTTATGATATTAGCATAGCTGTAGCTGAGTTTACATTATGCCAGTCCTTTAATTGATGCTGTGTTTACCTCTGTTGTTGAAAAAAGTCAAAAGTTACGTTTATGTTCGTTTTGTTCTGTCTTTAATATTTTTGGATTATTGAAATCAAAATTGTGTTGGTGTTTAAAATGGTGGGTAGCCAGTGCTGTAGGATTAACGGTCACTAAATATTACCATTGTATGATATGTGCATTGTAATTGGTGTTGACTGCTCCTTTGTGGGAACATTCCTGTATGAGCTGGAATAAACATAAATAAATGTATAATATATAATCTTTCCTACTAGATTCATCTAATTTACAATTGTTTCTTTGTGCATAGTAGTGAGAAAGAATATGACTGGTTTACCAAATCTTCCGACATCGGCTTCAGTCAATTTGGAAAATGTGCCCAAGGTGATATAATACTCTAAACGACACTTTGACATTTTTCTAATACATTTTACTATAACTGATTGTTACAGCATGTGGAAAGTATTGATGCAAAGGAATCGACTCCTAATCCACCTAAGAAAATAATGGTGACAGTAATTTCTAAAAAAGTCCGTCTTCCTGATAATGAAGTCAAACTGTCAGCTTACCCAGTGCCAGCAGAGAACCCTGGTAATTATATAAACGTTATTATAAACTTGTAAACGTAGATTAATTAAAAAATGTATAATTGTATACTTAAAAAAAATCACAATTAACAGTCAGTCCGTTTTAAATATAAAACACTCTTCTTGTATATGTTTAAAATCTTATACCCTAAAAGGAACCCCCCCCCCAAAAAAAAAACAACAAAAAAAAACACTTGCATTTATTTTTCATATTAACTAGGTATAAAGATTAATAGTTGACTTAAAATGTAAAAACAGCATTAATAACTTATTGTTTACCTTTATAGAGTGTTAATAATCATGTTACACTCTTTAAATTTAGATTAAAAATAAAGAAAATCAGTTCAATTTCATCTTTTCCAGAGCCAACTTGTTGAGTGAATTGTTTTTTGTAATTTTTTTCTTTGATAAAACAAAAAATTTGAGGGAAAAAATTATGTATTGATTTGTTTAGAAAGCATGTCGTTTAGGTTTTAAGTCGAGATCTGGCCCGAGCAGATGCTTTGGCCAAAGATGGACATAGCCCAAATCCTGGGTATGCTGTGCACTACGATGGTATACAGCAGTTTAGGGTCAATAGAAGTCTCAGTCAAAGAGAAGGTAGTGGTCGACTGCGATGTATGACATTAGAGACGATTGTTTTATTGTTCTTACTGCACTATGGAACCTTCATTTAATGGCTTCCTTGATAGGTAGTCAAATCCAAACTGTTCGTAATGTAAGGGTGAGCTTTAAAACAGTCATGAGAAGGCTTTATGAGAATCTCTAGACGTACCACATCAGGTTACTACTCGCAAATCAGCATCAATTTTGGACACTTGGAACAATGGAGGACTATTCCCTTACAAATGAGTGCCAGTTTCGCTTGTGGCAATCAGATGACCGGGTCTTTTTGTGGAGAAGGCTTTGCTTCATTTACCATGCTTGAGTCAGAGCCTTTTTAAAGACAGTCAGTTATGATATGATGTGGAATCAACGCCCATGCCCTGATTATCTTGAATGAGCCGATTATCATACAGAATGAATCATTTGACTGTACTAAGTTAGGTGATTCCGGAAGCTGTGGTCCCACTAGCTCTATTTATTGGGGACTGTGTGTTAATGCACGATAATATACGTGACCACATGTAGTTTGAGTTATCATCCATTATTTGGAGGATGTAGGGTAACCACAATGAATTGGCCAGTTCATTCTCCTGACATGAACCCATAGAACAATATGGGCTTGATAATGAGACAGTTAGAAATTGTTTACCGCCTCCACAAGCTTCAAACCGCTTTTTTTGAAGAATAAGAATGAGATTCAGTTTCTCAAGATTAATGCCGATCACTTATTTACTCGATTACTAGGAGACTTGAGGGGCCCCACAAGGCCAGAAGAGGTAATACACATTATTAAGAGCAAAATCTGTAATAAATTGTTAATTAAATTTTAATCTATTACTAAATGATTTTCCAGTATTTTGGTGAATTTTCTTTCAAACCATAATGATTAAATAATTTTTATTAAATCTCATAAATTTGTCATCTTGTTAACTTTGGTTTACATTAAGATAAGTATGTTGTAATTCATAAAACGATAAAAATACCTGAATTGTGGAAGAAATAACAAAATAAGTGTCTGGTTTTTGTTTTTGAGTGTATATTTTACAAAGAAATTCACTATGTTTAATTAAAATGTGGTTTTAAAATAAAATTATTTATGAGTGATTTTCAACGATTTTTAATTTTTCAAGATCAATGGGCATATTATGTTCACGCTTGCTTATTCACTTCACTTCCTCTTTCAAAACTTGGCAAATTTTAGGTAAACCTTACACATATAATTGGAAATTACTCTCGCATCCACATGGCAGTGAAGGGACCGTGAGTGAAAACCAAGGCGCGACATTAAAATTGAGCCAATTGACCGAAGGTCTGTACGTGTTTAAAGTCAGTGTCACAGGCACAGGAGCTTACGGGGAGACTGAGGCTAACGTTACCGTTTTACCACGTAAGTATTAATTTCAACTAATAACAAATTCATACTTAAAAAATTTCATTATCTTTCATAACGTAGAGAAGCGAGAAAATAAGCCTCCAGTGGCTATAGTTCTTCCAGCACATCAGATAGTCAAGTTACCGAATTCACGAGCAGTACTTGATGCCAGTTCAAGTAAAGATGACAACGGCATCACTAAGTTCCATTGGGAATTACAGCAAGGGCCGTTGGGCTACCAGCCTAACCTTTCCGATACACAGACTCTCCAATTAAAAGATTTACACAAGGCTGGCAATTATACTTTTAGGCTGACTCTTACGGATACAGACGGTGCGACCAATTCGACCTTGGCAAATATAACGGTATTGCAAGTGCCTGATTACCCACCTGAAGCTAATGCCGGTCCTTCAGTCATTCTATACCTGCCTAAAAACAACGTTACACTCAATGGCAATCTTAGTTCTGATGACAAAGGGATTGTATCGTGGGAATGGACGAAAAGCTCAGGTGAACAAGACAACGCCGTTGATATGCAGAACACGCACACTCCGTATCTTCAACTTTCACACTTAGGAGAAGGAATGTACACTTTTACACTTAAGGTAACTGACGACTCGGGCCAGTCTTCGTCTAGTGATGTAAGGGTGTTTGTAAAGCCTCCTACCAACAAACCTCCAATAGGTAAAAAAATATATTTTTTCTCAAGATAATATGATGCTACTGTTCAGTGGTTTTGTAGCTCATGCAGGTTCAAATGCGACTATTGCACTGCCACAAACATGGACCATACTTAATGGATCAGAAAGTACAGACGACATAGGCATTGATCACTGGAAATGGGAACAGATAAGGTACTTTTTTCCTTTGTTTTATATTTGAATTACAATTGTAATTGCTTATTTCTTTTTCCTTTCCTGATTTCTTTTGAAAAAAAAAAAAAAACATAAATCATAATATTGTTTTTCTTCTAATTCACCATGGAACAAAACAATAAATAGTTTTGTGTTGGCATAAATAATGCAAATGGCAGATAATGAAAATTTTTAATCACATCAATAGGACATTAATTCCAATTTTAGGTTTAAGATGTAAGTTGATTTTTTTATGTACCTCAAATGTGTGAACTGAGTGCCTTATTAGAGTTCAGACTTGTATGCTGTTGCATTTTTTCTTTGTGGTACAATGGTTCACAATTTTATTATGTTTTTGCATATTTTCAAAATATTGCATTTTTTGACAAAAAATAAAGATAAAATAGGCAACTAAGAATGCAGGCAGGCAACATGAAAGGAAAAAGACAATAGCTTAAAATTTGATTTAGTCCAGTTAACTTTCCAGAAATAAAGATGTGAGCAAACTAACAGGATATAATTATCTTTAAATAATCAGCATCTTATTTGAGGCCTCCCATTTCCAACTTCTGGGAAAAGTTTTTATGCCTTTCCTGAAAAAATAATTTTTCTGAATTTGAAGATTTTTCTGATTGTGAAAATAGGGACTATTTGAAACTTAAAAATAGTGTCAGTCTTTTGTATTTCAACCTAGTAAATCTATAAAAATGCCGAAAGTGGGAACCAATTTTTAAAATATTAGGTGGATGGATGCTGGATTTTTCCTTTCAACTCAATCAACTCAAAAGAGAACTTATTCAAATCCTCGGCGATGCAGGAATTATATTACTATTACTAATTATATTAAAAAAGCATCCTTATACAAATACCAGATTGGCTGATTTCAGGAAAATGAAAGCTTAAATGAAAAACGATTAAGTTGTTATGCAGAGAATCAAAGATCCAGCTGTTTTAAGTAAAGTCCCAGGTTCAAATCCAGCGGCTCTGCATTCAAACTTGAAACACCAGCATCCCAAGGGTGCATATAACTTCATAGATGCAAACTCTCTTTAAAAAAAAGGTCCTACTAATATGCTCTCATCACCTAACCTCTTTTGATGTAGAAAAGTCTTTTTTGAGGTACATTCATACAATTTTTTTTTTTAAAGTGAAAAATGCTATGGCTTTACAGAAACTAACTTTGAAATGTATATCATTGTCATTTTAATTAGAACTAAATTAGGCTTAATTATTTATTATGTTTTTGTGAGACTGAAATTTTTCTGTTCTAATTCCTTTCAAAATGAATATGTACTGGACCAAGGAAATATGTCTAATTTAAAAAAAGTTAAATTATTAGTCAGGTGATGTCTGACATTCTTCCTACATATTTTAATATTTTTATTGCATAAAAATTTGGGCTCTACTTATGACTTATGGGCATAAAAACTGGAGAAAAAAACATAAAATAACACTTTTACTTGTTATTAATTTTTACAGTATTTATTATTGAATTGCAATATTGTTTATCTTTATTTTAAAAATATAATAATTAATTTTCATGTTATGTGATATTTTAATTTTGGAATTGGAGTTTAAATAATTATTTTTTGTATTAGTGGACCTAGGAAAGCTGTGTTTTTATCATCAAATTCATCAGTAACAAATGTGACAGGCTTAACAAAAGGCGACTACGTCTTTCAATTGACTGTGATTGATGGCAATGAAAATTCAGTTTCAGACCGAGTCACTGTGTCCGTTACTCAAAGTGAGCTGACTTATTTATTATCATTATTTGTTTATTTCTTAAAATAAAAAAAAATAAAAAAAAAAAAATACGTTTTTATTTTAGACAAAAATGTGCCACCGAAGGCTAATGCAGGAGGGGACCAGACGCTCACATTGCCAATCGGAGTCTTAATCGTAAATGGATCGCAGTCCTCCGATGATCTCGGTATAGCAAAATGGCAGTGGACGAGAGAATTGACAAGCCTCGCCATGGGAACAATAATTGACCAATCTGATACGACTCCTGTTCTTATGGTATGGAGAAATGACCTTTGTTTTCAAATGCATTATTTCAGCTGGAACACATATATTCAAAGTAGCCCGAAACTGAAAAATATCAACAAAATAAAATAAATCTGGTCATTTAAATGATTAAACAATTTGAAAAATTTATTTGATTTTCTTCATTTCTTTTTAAATTTCACTTCAGCAATTGAAGTATTGATATTATTCTTATATTATTAATTATTTGTGTTAGGCTGTTGAAAACAAGTAGAAATTGTATGAACGAGAAAATATTTCATTTATGTAATTAAACTATGTTTAAACTTGTAATTAATTTATCAGGTTACAAATGTTGTTGCCGGAAGATATGAGTTTCGCTTGAGAGTCACTGATGACCAAGGAGAATGGGCCGAGGATACTGTTTCAATTATAATAAAGCAAGGTGAGATGTTATTCATACTCTCTTCCTAATGACACATATTATTGTTTTGTAATTTTAGATCCTGAAATTTTGAATTTGATCGAACTCACTTTAAACATCGAAGCAAGCAAACTGACACAGACTCAACGAGATTCCGTGCTTTTAAAGCTTGGCATGTTGCTCCGTGACGCCTCTCAGCTTGTTGTCAGGGACTTAAAGCCAGATACGAGTAATCGAGCCAAACTAGTCTTTTACGTCTCAAGTCCATCTGGCTCGGTGCCGGGGCCTCAAGTCGTTCACACTTTAAAGAACAAACTGGCACAGGATTCTTTCCTTTTACAACTGTCCGTCGTCGATATTAGGACCACAGTCTGTCAAAATAACTGTTCAGGCAAGTATTTCAATTATTGTGATGACATTGAGACCCCCAGTGGGAAATAATCTAATAAAGAAGTTTATTAATAATTCTATCATCGTTTTCCTTTAGGGCATGGTGTCTGCGATCAAGAAACAAGAGTCTGCTTTTGTGAATCATTTTGGATGCAAGACATGGTTAGAAAATATCTGGGGGATGGTGAATCTAACTGTGGTTGGTATCTATTATTATTTCAACTAATTTTTAAAGAACTCATTAAACTGAAAGCGATCTGCCCGTGAGAGCATGTAATAAAACTCATCTTCCATATAAAAATTATTCATTCCAAAATGCTATATAGTATTAGTTTGGCAAGAAAGTAATGTCGTTATTGATATAATTAATTAGCTCAATATTTACATTTTTTAATGTAAATGTGCTTGTTTAATCCCTAAATTAAAAGGCTTTATTTCGCCTCACTTTCTGTTTTCGATTTTTTTGTCTCAGAATAATTTAATAAGTTATCCTGTTTTTGGATGAAACACATTTAAGGCATTGTTTACTTTATGTATTCCAAAAAGGGAACAATGCATCTGCTGTAACTTAAAATTTGTGTGCAATGATTGATACTAATGTTGTAAATGTTCGTAAAGTCCAACAGTGGCTTGTTGGATTTAGAGAAAGAAATTTTTGTTCTTGAAGATGATGCGCACAGTGGGTGTCCTTCTGAGGTTGACGAGGACATATTGAGGCATAGGCTAGAAGAAAATCCCTTTTTGACAAGAATTAGGAGATATGTTAAATACAACTGTTGCACACTACATCCAAAGATTTGGGTTTGTTTAAAAGTGCACAACATGCCCACATGACCTCAGCGAAAGGAATTTGGTGCTGTTCACTCCACTTTTGCCATTCTTATGACCCATTTCTTTATAGATTAGTAACAGGCAATGAAAAATAGATCACAAAACATAATCTTCAAAAAGCTTGTCTGTCAACCTTGTCAACGGCCCCCAGTTGTTTCAAAAACAACAAATATACGGGGAAAAAAGAAATTCTGTGTATTCGTTGGGATGAGTCCTTGCTGTTCAAATTAATTTTGTACTTTTTCAATATCATTCACAATTATTCTTCATTCCAAAAACACAGTCATTAACATTACAATAAATAAATTGTACTTTGTTATAACTTATCTATTTACATTGATTTATGTAATTGACAAATTAATAAAATATTCCAAAACTGAATCACCCTACACCTGCCTGCGTTCTGCTTGGTGGGCAGATCGCTATCTGAGGCCTCAAGCCAATACATTTTTGAGGGAAAACTTTCAAAATTTTCAGGATGGAGTATATTGTATGTCGCTATCGGTCTGTTGTGCCTGGCCCTCCTCACCATAAGTGCCATTTGGGGAGTAGTCTGCCTGTGTTTCAGGCTTTGCCATACGTCTCCCAAAGACAAAACAAGATACGCTCTCTTAGAAAGTACTGAACAAATAAGAAGTAAGTTCTAATCATAATTTAGGGTGTGGGTTTGAATTATATTGAGTGTGGGCATACTTTTTTTTTTTTTTTCAAATTTCAACTTTCACTAAAGGTGATCCTTTATTACCAATCCCGTCAGCTCTAGATGAGAAAATATTATTGAAAAAGATTGTTAAGAAAGGGATAGTAGATCACACAAATCTAGAATAAACTGCGATGCATACGACATGGAAGCACATAAAAGTTATTTGAGGCATTGCTTGCTATATGTCCTCGACCTCGAGTGGATGTCTGTTGAAATTTATGTGGAATTTACGGTGATAACCTAGTAACTGAACGTGTATGTCAACAGTGGTTCTGATGTTTTTGTAATGGAGCGAGATGAATCAAAGATGGATGATCTAACAAGCTTAAAAACGACAATTTATTAGTGGCATTGAAGGATGAGTACAAATTAACTGTACCAGAGCTATCAGAGAGATTTTAGGTACATTGCACAATAGAAGAAAGAATCCAATCTCTGGGTTAAGCTGTGAAATTTAACCTGAACCTTCAGGAACAAGTTGTTTTCCACCTGAATAGGAATAAATCGAAAGAGTTTATTTTCTATTTGCTCTCTGGGGATGAAAAATGGGTCCGTTACAAAAATGTTAGACATTGAAAGACCAATTGCTAAAAGAAGGAAATGCCACCGTCAACGTTCAGAGCGAGATTGCAACTTCGTAAGGTCCTATTGTCTGTTTGAGGGGATATTTGACGAACCGTTACAACACAACCAAACCCTTATGGTATACTGTACTCAGCTTGTGCATCTTGGGGCAGTGTTGAAAGAAAAAATCCAACCCTGGTGAATGAGTTTCACCATGACAACACCAGGCTTCACCCAGCTGCACTCATTCAGAGTAAAACTGCTGAGTTAGGCTGGCAACAGAATTTTTGAATGAAAACGGATTTACAGATTTCTTCTCATCTTAGACATCAGACTTTACAAAAAGGCATTTCTACAACCAGAACTTTGACAGTATGGTATAGAAAATGAAGGAAATTATGTTCCGGATTAAAAATAAAATAAATTTACGAGTTGAAATCGGTACTTTTTTCTGAACTGGAAAAAAATGCACACACCCAATACTTGAATTGGCAAATGTTTTTCTCTTATGTATCTTTTTTATTACTCTTATGTTAATAAGATGTACTTTCATGCCCTTGGAAAGTCATTCATTTTACAGTCTTCCAGCTTAAATATCAAGGTGGTGTTCAATTTACTTTATTCCATAACAAAATAAAATATATAAATATTCACTTAAAAGTAGAAATAAATTAATGAAAGTTTTTAATAAAATATGAATGTTACAAAACAGATTGCTTGTAGGAGATAAAAATTTACCTGCATTTTATGAATTAAAACTAAATTAAAATCAATTTTATTTTATTGTGTACTAGATAATTTTATTGTTTTCTTATTAATAGATCCCTTGGGGAAAGTAGTGATTTCGGACAGTGACACAGATTCAGACGTTCTCTTCGAAAACAACAGAAACAGCAAATCCAACGGCACAAAGGTCTCTAGAAATGGATACAAACCAGATCGCAGGGTTAAAGTAATTTAATGAGATCAATTTATAAAGTATTTGTATTGGTGATCTATAATAAATGGATAAAATATATCGTTTTTAAGGTAACAATTTTTGATTTGTAGGTTTTTATAAAATAATTTTGTTGAATACTGTTAATTTAAATCTTAATGTGTCAACATTTTTGTGTTTATTTATTTTACTTTATTTTTTCAGTATTAAATTTGCAAAAAATTACTCTTGAAAGAAATTGAGGGGAACAGATAATCAATGTAGTTTTTTCCCAAATTATTATTAAATGTGATGATAAAGGCCATTTAGGGTTTTATTTAGATAATTTAAAAAATTATAACTTTTAGTAATTAATAGGAAAACAAAAACAATACAGCAAGTTATTTTTTTGCAAATATTGATCAAAGAAAACATTTTTATTTTAACTTATAACAGTGTAAATTCCCACATTTTTTATCCCTTAGCAATGTTTTATTTGAAAAAAGAAAAATGTTTTATTTTGAAACAAATTAAACATTGAAAAAATAAAACAAAATCATATATGTTTAGAAGTCATAATTGACCATATTAGTTATTTTAATTAATTATAATAATAATAATACATCATTTTTCCTAAGGTGGGATGAAAATATGGCAAAAGTGGGAAAATTTGAAAGGCTGTAAGTGAAAATGAGTTGTCCGAGTGGATCGAAGTTGTGATATCTCAGTTGGTTGAGCAGGAGCGTATCGAGCAAATAGTCATAGGTTCGAATCCCACTCGTGAGTCTAACTTTTTCATCTCAACCAAGACCTTAAATAAAAAAATATAATTAATTAAAACAAAATATTTGACTTAGAAAATAACACGTTCGACTTTATTTAAATCTGAATGTTTTAGCACTTGCCACACCTGAATGAATTTAAAATCATTAGCTTTGTTCAAAAAAATTCATTTAGTCTGAAAAATAATACAGTTATTTCTGGTAATACAGCAGTTCAATTTTAACAACTTGACCAATATATGATCACAATTTAAACTTTTTTTTAAACTAAACAATTTCTTTCATATTTAGACATGTCACAGGTCATTAAAAACAGATCGAAAGATCCTTAATCCATCCATAAAACTGCTGCATGGTCATAATTTATTGTAAATGTATGCAACTGCTTTTTAATACGGTTTTAATTATCACGACCAGGTATGACATACCTTTATCATACATAACATAGCATATCCTTAATATGAATTGTTAACTGTAAAGTATCTACTGTAATTTTTTAATTTTTTGTTTTTTTGTTTGTTTATTTTATAATGCATTCCAAGTAAGTCTTTCATAATGTAAACTGGCAACAGATATAAGCCTTATTACCTTATTCTACATAACGGCAATTCTAGTCCTATTGAGTTATTTACTTAATTTTTAAAAATGAAGTTGGGTAATTATTTGTTCCTTGGAATTATTTTATATTAACCTGTTGGTTTAAAAAATTTCAAATAATTTTTAATGTCTAAAGTTTAAGATGCAGATTAGGTGTTCTCTGCATAAAAAAACATTGTAGGAGTTTTGATATATTTTTAAAATGCAGTAAAAACAACAACATACGATGCACGTACATATTTAATATTGCAGCAGTGCAATATTGATCACGTCACAATTATTTATATATTTTAGAGCATTAACTATGCATTGAAAAGTTTATAATCGTTTGTAATAGTACTGTTCAACATATACAAAGAATCATTGTGCTGTGAGAAGTAGATTAGAATAATCAATGTGTGGATTGTGTATGAAAAAATAAAAATCTTGCCATATATTTTCAATCTATTGTAGAAATTAGTTACCAACGTAAAGAAATATTTGATGTATTACATAATACCAAAAATGTACTATTAATATAATATTTATTTACAGTGGTATTTTTATTCCCTTAGAATAGATATGGATGTTCAAGCCTGAGGCGATTATGAAGTGAGGGTATTTTGTGTGGAAGCTGAATAATATTGTTTTGCAAATTTCATTATGATATTTAATTAAACTATTAGATTGAAAAAAATTTTAGCCTTGATTTTATCTTCATTATTAAATTATACTCCTGTAACTTCATAGCTCTTTCATAATTGTTAACATTCACACTGCCGTCGGTAAAAAAAGAACTGAAGACTGCCCTAGTGGGTCTTTTTAGACCACTTTTTTTTCAAATTTATTGAAACACTATAATAATGTGTTTTTTATTTGTTTTATAATGTTGATTTATTTAGTAAGCACATGGTGACTTATAAATAAAAATTATATGTAGGTATGATAAAATTTTATTTTACATTATTATCTAATTATGCGTTGGCTAATGCAGGGACAGGACTCAAAAGCCTACTCACAATTCACATAACAAGGAGCAACTAAAGCTTTGAGGGGAGCTTCAGGTAGGCAGAACTTTGGGGATGACTACTTTTGCCAAGTCCTCTAAATTCAGTTTTGAGAATTTAAAAAAAAAAAAAAAATACATTGTAGAGCAGACTCGGAAAAAGGGATCGCAGTTAATGCCGACCATATCTGGTTTACAGATTGCTCCAAAACTGAATATGGGTCAGGAGCTGGCATTTATGGAAATAAACCAAGGTCTAGAATTCATATAAGCAAAGTTTTTCAAGCGGAAAGAGTGGCTATTGAACATTGTGCCAGGGAGATAAAAAGACGGGATTATCAATAGAAGAATAGCCATATACTCGGACAGCCAGGCAGCACTGAAGGCAATTGCTGCATTGACGGTGAAGTCTAGCATTTGGGATTGCATTACAGCCCTGTCAGACATTGGAGAAAATACAAAATTACCTTTGTCTGGGTCCGAGGGCACACAGGCAATAGGACAACAAAGAGGCCAATAAATTGGTGAAGGACAATTCAATGAGGATGCCTATTAGCCCTGAACCCTTTTGTGGCTTACCAAACTGGCAAACACGCAAATTTATTTGGAAATGGATTAATAATAAGTCCACTGCTCAACGGGAATGTAGCTTAGGAAAGAGGAATGTATCAAAGGACAATCGCAGAAACTAATAGCAGGATCTAAGACGTGCTAGGACTAGAATAATAGTTGGACTGCTAACTGGACACTGCAGACTCCAGAGACATGCGTATAGACTCGGGGTGGTAGAAACAAGCCTGTGCAGATATTATCAGGAAGAAGAAACAACGGAGCACGTCCTCTGTTGGCATGAAGACCGAGATTCCCAATCCTGGGAGAAGAAAAGGCAGGGCCTGAAGGATAAACACAGATACATTGGGGGGTACATAAAAAAATAAAATAAAATATACAATAGCGGGGGAAAAACAATAGAGGAAGCATAAGGATTTAGGGTGCGAGTGGCTAAGCGTTTTTACCATTTGAGAGAGTACAGTGCCTTAAATTAAGGGTTGTACTTTAGAAAAAAATATACTGGGGAAAAATAATGTGAAGTACGATCGATGGACATAAATAGGGCCAGACATCTTTTTATGTACCAAATTTTCAATAAGAAAAAAAAATACATTTAGGAAAGATCTAATTGAGAAATACATTGGAGGGTAGGTAAATAAAATATATATAAAAAAATATGTTATAGTACAAAAAACCAAACAATAGAGGAAGCATAAAGAATTCGGGTGCGAGTAGTAGGGATAAGCATCTTTCCTACCCAAGTGAGTACAGTGACTTAAATTAATGGTTGTACTTTAGTTAAAAAAATATATTGGGGAAAAAATAATGTGTTGTATGATCAGTGGACCTAAAAAGGCTCAAGCATCTTTTTGTGTACAAAATTAAAAAAAAAAAAAAAATCAGGAAAGACCTAATCAAGGAATACATTGGAGGGTAGATAAAAAAAGAAACACTATACCAGAAAAAAAAATGAGGAAGCTTAAGGAATTAGGGTGTGAGTAGTAGGGATAAGCATTTTTCCTACCCAAGTGAGTGCAGTAACTTAAATTAACGATTGTACTTTAGGAAAAAAATGTACTGGGTAAAAAATAAAGTGTAGTATGATTGGTGGACCTCCATAGAACCAGGCATCTTTTTATGTACAAAATGAGCAATAACAATTACATTTTTGTTCAAAATTAAAAAAAAAAAACTTACTCCTAGTTACATCATGTTCCATGGTTTGCAAAACTGTGATTGAGCAGGAAAACTATTCTAAAATTCTACCAGACCGAGTAATAAGACTTTAAAAGTTTGTGCAGTTTTTCATTTTTATTGTTTTAATAACGTTAACATTTCTATTTACTTAAAGCGTTTATGTATATGCATTGTGTAATACAAAGAGTATAATATGTCAGTACATAATGAAAAAGTGTCATGAACAGTTTATTGTAAATTATAACGTATTTTCTTTCTCATGCCATCAAAACCCATAATTTGTGCTAATTTTACGAATTTTAGCTTAGTACTAGAGTGGCCGAGGACTTTTTGGTATTGCTGTACAAGATCTATTTTTCGGCCTGTATGAAAATCCAGTCAAAATGTCTCTTCTTTCTGTTGTGAAAGCAAGAAAGGCAAATGTTTAGACGCTCAAGTTTGTAACCGTCGGTCAATTTACGAGGAACCCATTTGCTCAGCTTCAATATAAGAACCAGCCTTACCATGTCAAGAATGGTTCTTATATTGAACACTCTGGCGAGCTCCTGACATGTTTGACTTTTGGGAAGTTCGACAGCTTCCCATAATTCATCGCCATTTAAGACATTCCAACAGACAATGATTTATCTTCAATCCCCTCATTCCCAGAAGCAGACTTATTGAACAATTTGAACACTAATTTTATAAGCTGCCTTGGTCACCAGAGTATCAAGCTAAAATGCACAAATAAGCACAAATTATGGGTTTTGAAAGCATGGGAAAGAAAGTGTACAGTGAACTGTACAAGACATATTTCCTTTATGAATTATGAATCCTCTTGGTATTATGTGATGTAAACATCTAATCCTCCTGTAAATTGTTGTACTGTATGATTAACAGTATTAAAAGAACGACAGACATGAAGAGACAAAATTTGTAAATTCTATCATGTGGTTTAACCGGCATTACTCTGACCAGCAATATCCCATTATTCCCTCTTTCACTGCAAAGTATTAGTACAATAATCTAGGATTAAAAATGCAATATGTTAGGAAAGTTACAAGAGTTGATGAATTAATAACGTTCAATGCTAATTATTTATTTTACAAACAAAATACAATCAATACGCTTGTAATCATTAAAGCAATAAAAAGAGTGATATGTCTGTTCTTGGGTCACTATTCTAAACACTTCTATGTTCAACATATCAGTACAAAAATATAATAAACTGATAATTATAAATTAAGCACTGAATAACATAAATACTCTTAAAAATCTTATATTAACGTCAAATTATTCAGAAGCGTACACTTATTTATGTACACCAATTGACAATAATGAAGAGAGCTTGTTACACTTCCCTAATAACAATTTAATGAATAACTTAAGCAATGTGAATACATAATATGTGCTATAATAAACTTGAAAACAAGAATACAACAGATCACAGTTCAAATGGTCCCTTATCTTTCTTCATTTGCACAAAAATGTATTTTATTTTTAAAGATTATTACAGTGCAAGGCGTGGAAGAATTTAAGAGGTAATATACATAACAATAAAACATATTTACAAAAGAAAAAGTCTTTGGTCCTGTATTGTCATCAAATATAAACCAAAATTCAAAAAAAATTTAACAAATTGAATATAATTTTTTATATTTTCTCAACTATTTTCTCAACAATAGAGACAAAACAGATTTTATTTACAAAGGCACATTACGGCATGGTTGTCTTCAATAATTTAGAAGTGTTAAAAATATACAGTGTTATTCACAATCAGATCACATATCCATTTTTTTTTTTTGTGATATAATAATAAAGTTAGATTGAATCAAGTCCACCGCCGGTCAATTTAGTCGCATAAAGATGTAAAACCTAAAAACATAACAATATTTTTTTATTTATGAAAGTTTGACAAGTCAATCCTGGCTTACCTCATAAATTAGCCTGTACTGTTCGTTGGTCTGGACAGCACCAGCTCTCTCTTTGCGGATATTGTAAACGGTTTTTGGAATATCTACTATTCGATCTGTTTCAAAGTCCCTTATCCCGATGTCAATGGCGATGATTGTGCCGGTGCGACTAGTTCCTGGAGAACAGTGTACTACAACCGGAGGCCCTGGTTTGGCGTACGACCTCGCCTCTATAAGGAAGGCAATGATGGACGATTTGTCATCAGGTATACCTCTGGCTGGCCAACTTATGTACCACATATGGGTCACTTCCCTCCATGAATTCGTCTCTAGGTTCTAAAAGAGCAAATGTTATTAAATAAATTTGAAAAAGTTAAATTATTAGTGTAAATTTAAGTATGAGAGAGTTGAATTTAAAAAAGCAATACCTTTAACTGTAGGTTGGAGATTATGTATTTTTCTCTTGTTTCCCTTTTTTTCAAAGTAACCTGTAGATCTCCAAAAACACGGTGACAATCAAGAACTTCTGACGGTGGCAAGTAATCAGCACACTTTTCCTTTAAATATATAGTTTTAAATAAACTATATCCAAAGATAAAATAATAACTAAATAAATGACTATTACCACTCCATTTTCATGTAGGTCTGTTAACATGATGATTATCTTTGACTGTTGTTCCCAGACTAATTGCCAAAAGTCTGCAATCGTGTTTGGCAATGGGGCCTGGCATGCGATATAAAACTTTTCCACACCTTTGGCTCCCTAAACATTTGACATTTAGTCATTTACAATTTTTCAAGAAACGTTCTCAAAATTTACCTTCACATAATTTGCATTTATAAATTGCTCTACAATATCATTTGTCGTCGAAGTGTTAATATGAACCCTTGTTTCAGGGAGTGGAATAACATTAGCATATCTGTTTTTCACTTCTGCACCCATCGGTAACTCATCGGGCTTAACTGTCACCATAGGAACTTTAGAAAATTCTTCTTCTAGTTTAGCTTTGTCGCTCACAGCATTAGTCAAGCCGGCAAAATTAAGCGGCACTGATATGGCTACCTGTTAAAAAAATTAGTTTTTTAATAACAAAATTTACAAATATAAAAATGACAGAATAAATACAGGGTCATCAAAAGCAGGATTTCCGTAGGATCTTTTTGAAGCTCTCATCGCTTTCCTCCGCACACTATTGTAAACAGAAATATTGTCTAGGCTGTAATCATCTAGTGAAACCGGTGTGCACCTTTGTCCATAATTGAACCCTTTTTGCCTCTTTCTCATAATAACCTGAATAAAAATAAATAAAATAAAAATAAATAGAAATAAAAATCATACTTTTGTTGAGTGATTTAATTTGTACCAAAAGGATTGTCAGAACAAGTAAGCTGATTCCAGCGATTGATGAAATAACTATAGCCGCAATAACTGTACCGCCTAATTGTCCTTCATTTGCCATCTCAATTGGAGTTATCAAAGTATCAACTTTATTTATCTGCAATATCATAGTTATAACCATTAGCCTATTCTTTATAATTACCTATTATATTTTATTTACTCACGGGGTATTTAAACTGAAAATGGCCATCTTGGATAAGAGTGACAACAATTTCTGTTAGTACTTTGCTATATTGCCCATCTTTATCGGTCAATATTAAATGGACACGAGCAGGTGAAATGTCCATTTGGCCGTTTTCTTCCAAGCATTCGCTTGGTCCCAAATCAAGAATTTTCACCTGCTCAGTACTTACTACCCTAAATTAAATAAATATAACAATTATATCACATTTTTGTACCAATCAATAATATAACAACAAGAAATTATTTTAAAAAGTTTAAAGAAATTACCTCTCTGCATAAGTTCTAAGAAGTTTGGCAATTGCATCTTTGAGTTCCTCTTTAGCATTGCACATTTCTCCATACATCGCTTGAATTTCCAATTCGACGTTCTTCGGTATTCCATACATCTCAGTCGCTAAAAAAGATTGAGTACAAATTATAAGTCCATTCAAGTTTTATGCGCTCAACTCACCTTTTTCATCATCGACGCTTGGAATCTTTTTTGGTTCTACCTTTGAGAAAATGGTAACGGTCAATGGTGTTTGACTTTCTTCGACACTTGATTCAGTAGGTTTCAAAGTTGTGTACAATAATCCTGGTTCTGTGTCTTTCTCTACGTCTTCTGAATCATCATCTTCTTCTAGGTCACTGTCATTTGGTATTTTTTCAAAAGAAGTTGTGTTGTACAAAAAAGAATCATCTTCATCAGTATCAGCAGTTTCCTTTAAAATGATTGCTGTTTTGTTTTCAACATCAGAATGTAAGCTTGTTAAATTTGTTATAATGATTTCTGGTGTGGTGTTTTTTTTAAAGCTGTCTGTAGTAGTGCTTTCCTGGCTTAAAATTGTAGTAGTTGACAATTTGATCTGATTTGTAGGTACTTCTGTAGTTGATTTTTCATTCAATACTGTAACTATTTTTTGGTTGATTTCATTTACTTTTTCCAAGATATCTGCCTTTTCAGTTGTACTTTTGTGAGTCACTTCATTTACTTCTTGCCCTGTTTTATTATTAGAATAACTGTGATTTGAAGAGAACATTGTCATGGTATTGTTGGATAAGTTTATATCAGGCTTTATAGCTGTTGTCATTGGTGTAGTCATTTGAACAGGGTTTTTGCTTTCTTTAGACGTCATTGCGTACTGAGTGGTAGACTCTTCAAGTATCGAATTAAGTAATGTGACATTTTTTATAGTGTTCAGTTGTGTCATTGGTGTTTCAGTTGTTTCTTCTTTCATGTCATCTTCAATATCGTCATTACCACCATCATTATTATTATCATCATCATCATCAAAAACAACATCTATTCTTTCTGTTATGGGATGTTTTGTGGAAGTTTCATTCTGCATGCTTTCAGCTAGAGTTTCTTCCTTTATGAGGGGGGTGGTTGACTTCATTGTTGTATTCACAGTGTTTGAATTATTCACATCGGCAATTGTAATAAACTCATCAGAAGTAGACGTTATAAAAGTAGAAACTGGTGGTGTTGGAGTTGTAGAACTTACTACATTGGCTGAAACTGTTGATACAATTAAGGGCACAGCAGATGTCGACGAAAATTCATTCGGCTTCTGATTTATTTCTCTGTGTGGAGTATTAGCTTTTACTGTGAAATTACTTTTCTTTACTTTCTGTGTTATGTCTGGGATATCGTTACCAATCGTTGTAAAAGTTTCAGCAGTCTGTTCTATTTTTGTGGATAGAGTTGAAATCTCTGGTTTGGGCATTTTTGCAACTATTGTGTTATTAACAACTGGAATGGAATCATTATCCAATTTTGTCGTAGTATTGTTTTCAATAAGGTTCGACTCTGTTGACATCTCTAATATCGGTTGCTGAGTTGCATTTGTCGCTCTCGTCATAGAAGTAGTGCTCTGATCGATTAATTTTGTTTCATTTACTTCAAAAGGGACATTGTCTACATTAGGCGGGGCAAGGGATGTTTTTTCAGTAGAGGTTTTCCTTTGTTCACTCTCGAGTGAAATATTTCTATTAGGCTTGACGATGGTTTTCACATCAGACTTGACTATTTTCACTAGATTGTCAATAGTAGACACATTTCCTATTATTTTATCTAGTACTATATTTGGTTCTGAATTATCAGTGGGTAATGAAGTATTATCTTTAACTATAGTGGGTTTAGTATTGTTTAATATGTCAATCATTGCAACATCTGTAAAATTGTGTATGAGAGGAATTGAGGGTGTGGGTGACATTGTAGAGGGTGGCATTGTAGTAGGTGATGTTTCATTCTTTTCGCTGCTCATAGCTGTCGCATCTTGCTGCATACCACTTTCATCTAAACAGAGATAGAACATTAGTGCGTTTTGATTAGCTCATAATACTAGAAAATACATACTACTCAAACTGGAAGGAGTGCTGGTTTTGGATAGTCTGTTGGACCAATAGTCGCTAATAATTACAGATGGTGTTGTGGTCGGCCGTTTGAACACTACATTGGACCCGATTGTGTTTTTTGAGGTCTTCATGGAGGCTAGGGCCCAACCGGTTGGAGGTAAATCAATAGTGCCATCGCCGAATGTTTTTGTTGTGAGTGTCTTGAACACAAGGAGCGACCCCGGGCCTGGGGATCCGCCTTTCGTTCTGCCATTTTGTTTTCCAGTCGCCTCTGTAGGTCCAACGACAGGAACGGTATTTCTTGAGAAATGGTCCACCGTCCGGTTGGGCGGATTTATGTTCTGTTCCAGACTTACACTAGTTGTACTTGTTATGTCATCAGGTGGTTGTGAAAAAACATTTTTTTTCGGGTCATCTTTTAATGGTTTCCGATGGATGTTAAGTTTCCTCATCAAGGGCAATTTAGCATTTGTTGTCGGTAATCTAGGAGTATCATCTTCACCAATAACATTACTAATAAAGATTACAAGAAGCACCCCTGTAAACAATCAAATAAAAAAGAAGTATTACATTTATGTCAATAGGCCAATGTGTTGTGATAAAGTGTTAAATTTAAGTTTATTGTTTCTCCACTTTTTCAGAAAATTTTTTTCTCAAGTTGAATAAATGCAAAGTTTCTCTAAGGATAAAAATATGGAGTACCCAGTATATTGTTGAATGATAATGCTATATGAAAAACGGTTTGCTAAAGAAAATAATGTCATTTATTTGTTAACTTCTTCTCCGTCTTAATTTTAGATAAAATAATATTCCATTTCTCACGATAAATAATCAACGAAAAAACAGTTCTTTCCACATAGACATGTTTCATGGCGACTTAAACCATAAAATTATATATTTATTTAACCAGATGTGGAAAATTACTTTACCCCATTGAGTGCAAAGTTAAGAAGTTTAGAATAAAATACAGATCACTGGGCATAACAATAAAATGCTCAAAGGGTTTGCAGAAATCGAGATGCTTCTTGCCAAATAGACATGTTTTGAAACAAGCATAACGATTTAAACCATAAAATTATATATTTATTTAATCAGTTGTGGAAAATTACTTTATTTCATTGAGTATAATCAAAGCCCAATGTTAAAAAGTTTAGAATAAAATAAAGATTACTGGGCATAACAATAAAATGCTCAAAGGGTTTGCAGAAATCGAGATGCTTCTTGCCAAACAGACATGTTTTGAAACAAGCATGTCGATTTCAACCGTAAAATTATATATTTATTTAATCGCTTGTGGAAAATCCCATTTAGCACAATCAAAGTGCAAAGTTAAGAAGTTAAGTAAAATTCAGATCACTGGGCATAACAATAAAACGATCAAAGGGTTTACAAAAATCGAGAAGATGCTGACTCTTTTTTCCCAGGGTAACAGAGTGAAGTTATTGTCTGAGACATAAAACAAACAAGCACATTGTTTCCCACTTTTCACTTTCATCCTTTGTGAATGTTCGTAATTCGAATTCCTTCGAAATCGAATGTAGTTTCTTTTCATTTTTGTGGGAACACTTTTGTTTTTCAAGTGTTTGCCGAGAATTTTCAAGTAAGATATGATTATTGATAGATTAGACAGTGATGAAATTCCATTTCATCGAATTAAAAAAAAAATTAGGCACTAATTTTCAAATTTGGAGGAACCATCTCGAATGAAATCAATATGACTTTACAGAATTTTAGACGTATTTTCTTTTCGATTCTCCATCTTAATGAAGATAGACGTCCCGGAAACTAAACATCCGACAAAAGTAAATGTTTTTGTACGAAAATATTTCTTGTAGCGAATTTTCGGTTTGTTGTTCTCCTTTCAAGGTGCAAACGGGATCCAAACAAGGAAGTCGAATTGTTTCTACTCGGGATAAACTATCTACGTAAATATTGAAACATAAAAAACAAAGTCGTATAAATGAAATCATCAACAAAGGCGGACGTAAATAAACATCATTACGATTTCGAGTTGTGTACTAGGAATCGTTTATTTTTGTTTATACTATTTTTTATTTCTGGGGCACTGCACATTGATCACGTAATCTAATGCAAATCAATCTATTCGCCATGTTCTCAAGATATCTAACAACAGAAATTCTACTGGAGAATATTCCATTATTTATTCGGTCTACTGTCATTTCATAGACAGCTTCTTTATGCTTATTAGGTCTATTATAGTTTTATTATAGTCAAGATAATTTTTTGTTGGTTCCGATAATAAAAATAAAATATAAAAAAATAAAAATAAAAAACACAAAGAAACGACATCGTAATTTAATTTTTTGTGTAGAATACTTACAATAAAGGTGCTCTGAAAATATGCACTTCATCTAAAGTTGACTTCACCCGCCCTTTTACGTGCTTCCAGCATGATAGCAGCCTGGAAAAAGGAAATAAACAATTAAATTAAAATATAAATTTTATTACAATTTTTGAAAAAAAAAATTGTTTTATTATTTCATTTTTGTTTCGAATTCTTTTTAACTGTTTTCCCACCAGTTTAGACTTTTGCTTCAGTTGAACATGTGTAAATCTTGTATAACTTTTTGTTAATAAACTAATTAATAAACTATGTTAATAAATAATTATTTAACGTCCGTTCGTTTCTTAGTCACCCCTGACTCCCAAGAAATAAAGGGCCATTTCTGTTATCCGACCACACAGCTTAAAATGAAAATGTCTTAAAATTCGATATTTTCAAAATTAAAAAAATTATTTTCAATTAATTAAGGTTTTGGTTGAGATAAAAAGTCAGTGTCAAGCGGGATTCGAACCCCCCGCTTGTGACACTGTCTTTTTTATCTCAACCAAAACCTTAATTAATTGAAAAGAATTTAATTTGTCAAGCGGAACACGAAACCTAATAAATTAAAAACTACAAAAAAGAAAATGAAAATAATTACGATTGGATATATCATAACAATACCAATTTTTCGGAAGTTTTGAAGAAGAGGATACGCGAACATACTTCTTCTAAAAATGTTTTCCAGTCTGTAATGTTGCTTGTAGGCATGTTGTTCATCAGCATAGTAATTTATAGTTGTGTATTGTTTTATCCATGAATATGTGAAGTATCAAAGCCATGTTCCTTTTCTTAGGGTTACTCGACATTCTTTTCTATTGCATATTGCATATAATATATTGTTGTGTGATTCATTACACTAGAGTAATTTCGTGTTCGTTAACGCAATTTCGCATATCATGCAGAATACCTTTATGACGGAAAAATCAACAGCCTTTTATACATAACTTATTCATACATAACCGTCACTGCAATTCAAAACACATGAAAACTGTTGCTACAGTTCAACTTCTAGTGCTAAAGTCCATTATCGTCAAGTTTAATGGAGACTAAATATTACTTTAATTTAAAATGGCCTTATTTCACAACATAGAGTAAAAATAGTAATAAAAATATCTTTAATATTTTAAACTGTCCGGTCGTGTAACCGAAAAGACACCAAACAGAGCGTGGTTGTCGAACGTTCGGGTTGTCACATGGTCGTCGAATTGTCGCTCGGTCAATTATCGTTTGTTCTTCGTTCGTAACGGGACGAGACAAAGAAAACAGGAATCCGTGGCGAGAGAAGAAATGGAATTCACGAATTTTAAAACTGAACCCTTAACGGGGCAAAATTACTCCTCGTGGGTAGTTAAGATGGAAGCTCTTTTGGACATGATGGGCCGTTTGAGGACGTAATCCTCAAGATCCCCAGTTAATGGCCTTGAGTTAATGAATGAAGACGGCACGATGTGTGGATAAGAATTTTCTCATCCTAGGCTTGACATCTGACCAAGTAAATTAAAGAACGTTGTGGAAGAAAGTACAAGGAAAGTACTCTGGTGCTAAAGAAAAAGGAATAGACTCACAAAGACGAATATGAAAAGTGAGGAAAGTATCGACGATATTTAACGTGGGCTTAATGCTTGAAGGGAGAATTAAACGAATTCGTCAAAGAAATATCTGACCGAAATTACCGACCATAAGTATATCGTCGAAGGTTTACCAGATATGTATTAAACACGTCTACTTGTACACCGATAACTGAATTTCGCATAATTGAGGTTGTCATTCGAAAAGCGTAGCAGAAAGGCCCCACCGGTAAACGTATACAAGACGGTTAGGAAAAGGACAGAACAAACATGCTTTGTATGCAAGAAACCTGGTCACATCCCAAGGATTGATGGTTCAGAAATAACGAAAAGTTAAAAAAAAAAGTTCTGGAAAAAATCGACTTCAACAAAAAGACAAAACTCATAAAAAACATCTGTCTGAGCGAGAAAGCCAACATAGCAGCAAAACCCAAGGACCTTGATCAAAGGGACATTAGTCAACTGACAAGCAAAGACTCGTGACCTTTTTTACGATGGAATCCAATCAAGGAAACCAGATAAAAACACAAACATAAAAGACAATGTGAATGTGGGGATACTACATAGAAATTGAGATTTTTTCGATCATTTTGGTCTGCCAGCAAGGCTTCTTCGGCTTCTCGCCAACTTCACCGGCCATGCAGCACAATTGTGTTAAATTGAGAAATTTCTATCGGCGTTTACTTTCTTATAAACCTAAAACATATAAAATGGACCGACTAAACAGAAATTACCGAGGCCCAGCCCACGACTGAAGATCTGTGCAACTCGGCTCCAACGGCATGACAGTCCTGGATTCCCTTACTTACCACGTACTTGACGTCTTCGACTTTTCACAGACGATTTAATGGCTATCAAGACGATAAACGATAACGTAGACAAAAAGCAGTTTTTCTCCTGAAATTTGGGCTTAGCCTAAATCTTAGCCTTCTTTGACCACTAATGGATGACTTCCACAGCGATTTCAGTGCAGCTCATCCAAACATATTCTAGATAGACTTACTGACTGAAATACAATCGGAAACTCAAAAGTCTGCATGAATTTGAGTGGTGAAAAACCAGAGCCGAGTAGGCTGTATGCAAGAAGCCGAAAAAGTCTGACAGAAACCAAAAAGCATGAGTATGCAGGTCAAAGTGGTGAAGAACGACTCAACTAGAGAATTATCTCCAATTCAAAAGGGAAAAAATCCCATAATTTAACCCACCACTGATGACGGCGAAAGTACGACACGCGTCTGACAGATCAAAATAGGAAGGCTAGCCATAGCTAGAATAGCTCCATCCAACTCCAGGTTCCTCTACCGATACCGAAATTCTACGCTAGTCGAACTATTGGATCTACGGAATTTAGCTTTTGTAAATAATGGCAAACGTACAATTTTATTGTCCAATAAAGCTTTGCTGACTCACATTCATAAAATAAAATTCGGTTTTGATAATTTTTTGGAACTGGTTTAATTGTTTTTAGTAGACAATAGAAATGTGTTCGCTTCAATCGACATCCTGGTAGAAATAAAATTGGCCCGACTAGAATAAATAGCTTCCCACTCCACGAATTCAGGACAGGTTCTCCTTGAAAGCCGACAGGACAGTGAAGTCGATAATAAGGGCCAATTTAGAATCTGTGCAACGTCGTATCCTGTCCAGGAGAGATGTGAGACCGGGTGGGGGCTGAACGGACGTACTGCCGGCTGACCTATTCAATCTTAGGTTTGAAAAGCGTCTTCCACTCTGCACGGTTTTTCTTTTTTTGTAGTTGCAGGAAGTATGCCGTCGACTTTCACCCGGGCCGACTCCTGCCTGCCCTATTACATTGTTTGTATGCTAGGCGGTGTTGTAAATCGTTTGGCCACATCAGTCCCATTGCTATAGTTGTCCTACCTCAAAATTGAGCTTCATATCTTTTTAAAAATTATGTATATTGCATTATGTATATCAAAATCTCAGTTTTGTTTTTACTAATTAAACTGGGGTGTCGACGAGAGGCTAGTACACCAGGGAAACGTTAAAGCAATGGAAAGGGTGACCTAAAACAGGAATAACAAAACGACTGTATTGGATTTAACAGATGCCAAAAAAATGAAGAAAGAGGCGCAGAGGCCTGATGATGAACGTAGCCGTTCGTCAGCCTTTAAACCGTACCACTACATTGCATATGGAAACTTTATTTGATCAAAGATGATGACAACAAAATGTATAAAGAATTTGTGAAAAAATAAAACAACCCGTCGCTCAACCCTCACATAATGTACATATTAGAAACACCTCTAGCGAATGGACAAAAAATTAATAAATATAAGGAAAACAACATACTATAATAGATTAACTAGCCGATACATTATAATAGAGAAAATAGAATTTGATAGATGTAGATGTAATATTCGGGGTAAATAATATAATGCACCCTTTGGAAGCTATTATACCTACAGCACACCGGTTCATCAAGAAATTTGATTAGTAGGCCTCGCTTCTGTGGCTGGATTTTTCTTATACGGTTATGTCGTACATTCACCTGCGGGCTCATCATAATAGATGTGTTGGTGTCTCATCTGCTTCCTTGCAGAATTTACATGTGCGGTGTTGTATTATTATTAATATCTTCTAATGTCCAATCAGTCCACAGGGTCCTGTTAAGATTACTGTTAAGGTTTCTACGTTTTTCCTGCTTCCTTTGATGTATTCTGTCGCTTCTTTCCCTCCGAAATTATCCAGAAGGTTTTTGGATTGTTTGTTCCCAGTGAGTGAATTCCACCGTTTTTTCATTTTGGCCCTGTCTTGTCTAAGGTTCATTGATAGTGTAGCACATATTTCTTGTGCCACAGAAGGGCTCAGGGCCTTTAAACGATTTTCCTTGCATCCGCTCTCGTCGCCCTCTACGACGAGCAAATGGTGAATTTATTTTGCGTACCTAATCTGTGTAGTTTAGTTTATCAACTCAGCACCATATTTGAGCTAAAGATGTTTGAGCTGCTGCTCTCGCTCTGGTGACCACCTGGCAGCTCGTCAACGTATAAACCGAACCACTACTAGGTACATGAGAACTTAATTTGGTCAAAAGTGTCAAAAAACTGAAACCATGCTCAATCAATTAATGATGTCGGTGATAATAATTTATTTTAAGTATGGATGGGTGTTAAACGCTTTACAAAGCTATAATTTGATAAGATGAACGATAACCAGATCATAATGTCTTGTTGGACTATGGATTTACTGATATTTTGCCAAATGTATCTTGAATTATTCTTTGTTCAATCTAGCGAGGAAGAATGTACCACTAGGCACTGTACATCGATACTATTTTGTACATACTGCACCTTTTTTTGCGCATTGTATGCTGGCCACGTAGAGCAGCAATACTTGTTTTACCAACGGGAAGACGTTTCAATTCCGGGTCAGTCCATATGAAATTGCGATCCAGATAAAGTATAACTATCTGACAGAAGTCGTAACTCGTGAATTGGACACCTTGCGGCGGTAGATAAAGTTGGACGATCTGAATCTTCCTTG